TATGTTAAGCTTTTCATTCCTGGGACCACTCTCGTGAACCTCCTCTGAGCCTGCTCCAGTGCCAGTACATCCTTCCTGAGATACAGGGCCCAAAACAGTTCACAATACTCCAAATGTGGCCTGACCAGAGCCTTATAGAGCCTCAGAAGTACTTCCCTGCTTTCATATTCAAGTTGTCTCAAAATAAATGATAAAGTTGTATTTGCCTTCCTAACTACTGACTCAACCTGAAAGTTTACCTTGAGAGAATCCTGGACTAGAACTCCCAAGTCTCTGTACACTTCAGACTTCTGAATTTTTTCCCTATTTAGAAAATAATCTGTGCTTCTATTCTTCTTACTGAAGTGCATGGCTTCACACTTTCCAACATTGTACTCCCTCTGCCACTTCTTTGCCCACTCTCCTCACCTGTCCAAATCCTTCTGCAACCTCCCCGCCTCCTCAATACTACCTGTCCCTCTACCAGTCTTTGTATCATCTGCAAACTTTGCCAGAATACCCTTAGTTCCTTCATCTAGACCATTAATATACAAAAAGTGAAAAGTTGTGGTCCCAGCACTGACCCTTGCGGAACACCACTTGCCACCAGCTGCCATCCTGAGAAAGACCCTTTTCAGACTCTCTGCTTTCTGCCAGACAGCCAATCTTCTATCCATGCTAGTACCTTGCCTCTAACACCACGGGCCCTTATCTAACTCAGCAGTCTCCTGTGCAGCACCTTGTCAAAGGCCTTCTTGAAGTCCAGGTAGATAACATCCATTGGCTCTCCTTGGTCTAATATACTTGTTACTTCCTCAAAGAATTCCAACAGATTTGTCAGGCATGACCTCCCCTTGATGAAACTATGCTGACTTTGCCCTATTTTACCATGCACTTCCAAAGTAGTCAGAAATCTCATCCTCCACAATGGACTCCAAAATCTCATCCATGACTGAGGTTAGGCTAATCAGCCTAATTTTCTGTCTTTTGCCTTACTCCCTTTTTAAACAGGGGTGTTATGTTTGCGATTTTCCAGTACTCTAGGACCCTCCCTGACTCTAGGGATTCCTGAAAGATCACCACTAATGCCTTCACTATCTCTTCAGCTATCTCCTTAAGAATTCTGGGGTGTAGTCCATATGATCCAGGTGATTTATCCACCTTCATGCCATTCAGTTTTCTAGCACCTTCTCCTTGGTGATGGCCACCATACTCAGCTCTGCCCCCTGACTCTCTTGAATGTTTGGGATATTACTCATGTCTTCCATTGTGAAGACTGACACAAAGGAATTATTCAGTTCCTCAGCCGTTTCCCACTATTATCTCTCCAGCGTCTCCACTGGTCCAAAGTCCACTTTTGCCTCTCTTGCCTCTCTCATTATGGAGGGGTATGTTGGGGAATGTCTACGTTAAGGAGGAGGTGTTGAGCGTCTTGAAAATCATTGAGGTAGATAAGTCTCCAGGGTCTGATGGGATCTATCTCCGGGTACTGAAGGAGACAAGGGAGGAGATTTCTAGGGCCTTAACGGAGATCTTTGTATCCACCTTAGTCAAAGGCTGGGTCCCATTAGACTAGAGAATAGACAATGTTGTTTCTTTGTTTAAGAAGGGCAACAAGAATAATCCAAGAAATTATAGATTGACGGGTCTTCCATCAGTGGTAGGGAAATTCTGGAGAAAATTCTTAGGGATACAACTACTCGCATTTGGAAAAGAATGGATTTATTTGAGAACAGTCAGCATGGCTTTTGTATGTGGGGAGGTCTTACCTTACAAATTTGAGTGAGTTTTTGATGAAGTGACAAAGATGATTGAGAGTAGGGCAGTGAATGTTGTCTCCATGGACTTTACTAAAGCATTTGACAAGGTCCCCATGATAGGCTGATCCAGAAGATTAAGTCACATGGGATCCACAATGAGTTGATAAGTTGGATACAAAATTGATTTGAAGACAGGACTGTTGTGGAGGTGTGTTTTTTCTGACTGGAGGTTTGTGACCAGCAGTGTTCCACAAGGATCAGTGCTGAGACCTCTGTTTGGAGTGTATATAAACGATTTGGATTAAAACGTAGATGGTCTGATGAGTAAGTTTACAGACAACATGAAAATTAGTGGAGTTGTGAATAGTGAGAAAAGTTGTCAAAGGATACAGCAGTATATAGATCAGTTAGAAAGTTGGGTGGAGAGTGGCAGTTGGAATTTAATCTGGACAAGTGTGGGGCGGTGCATTTTGGGAGGTTAAATGCAATTGGAAAATATACTTTAAAAGACTGGACCCTTCAGAGCATTAATAGACAGAAGGATTTTGGAGTGCCTAGCTCCCTGAAAGTACATACCTCCCCGAAAGTGGAAAAGCTGGTTTAAAAAAAAGGTACACGTCATGTTTGCCTTCATCAGTCAGGGCAGTGAGTATTAAAGTTGGCAAGTCGTGTTGCAGCTATGTAAGGCTTCAGATAGGCACAAAAGGTAGTAGTTGGAATGTGCTGCCAAGGGAGGTTGTAGAAGCAGATAATGATAGCAACATTTTAAGATGCATTTAGACAGTCACATGAATAGGCCGGAAATAAAGGTATATGGACCATGTGCAGGCAGATGAAATTAGTTTAGAATGGCATCAAGGTCAACGCAGAAATAGTGGGCTTAAGAGCCTGCTTTTGTGCTGTACTGTTCCATGTTGAATGTTCATATAAATACTGTAACTACAAAATTAAGCCAGATGTAAGGAATCATGCAGTGGGGAACACACCTCCTGACTCCAGAGTGTTTCCACTGTCTACAAGTAACACTCCCCACTTACTTGGATGGGTGCAGCTCCAAAGTTCAAAGAGTTTGATATCATCCAGGTTAAAGCAGCTTGTTTGACTAGCACCATATCCATAAAAATTCACTCCATCCACCACTGATGCAGAGCAGTGTGTACCATTTACAAGATGCACTGATGAAATTCATCAAGATTCCTTCGACTGCATCTTCCAAACCCATGACCACTACCATCTATGAGCACGGGGGCAGCATAGAGTCATAGAGATATACAGCATGGAAATAGACCCTTCGATGCAACTCATCCATGCTGACCCGATATCCTAAATAAATCTAGTCCCGCTTGCCAGCATTTGGCCCACATCCCTCTAAACTCTTCCTATTCATATTCCCATCCAGATGCCTTTTAAATGTTGTAAGCGTACCAACCTCCAGTACTTCCTCTGGCAGCTCATTCCATAAGTGCACCACCTTCTGTGTGAAAAAGTTGCCGCTTAGATCCCTTTTATATCTTCCCCGTCTTACCTTAAACCTATGCCCTCTGGTTTTGGAGTCCTCCACCCTGGGGAAAAGACCTTGGCTATTCACCCTATCCATGCCCCTTATGATCGTATAAACCTCTGTAAGGTCACCCCTCAGCCTCCGACATTCCTGGAAAAATAGCCCCAGTCTATTCAGCCTCTCCCAATAACTCAAACCCTCCAAATCTGGCAACACCCTCGTAAATCTTTTGTGAACCCTTTCTAGATTCACAACATTCTTCCTATAGCAGGGAGACCAGAATTGCACATAGTACTCCAAAAGTGGCCCAACCAATGTCCTGTACAGCCACAATATGACTTCCCAACTCCTATAATTAATGCACTGACCAATAAAAGCAAGCATACCAAGTGCATTCTTCACTATGCTATTTACCTGCGATTCCACTTTCAAGGAACTATGAACCTACACCTCCAAGGTCTCTTTGTTCAGCAACACTCCCCAGGACCTAATCGTTAAGTGTATAAGTCCTGCTGTGATTTGCCTTTCCAAAATGAAGCACCTCACATTTATCTAAATTAAACTTCATTTGCCACTCCTCAGCCCATTGGTCTATCTGATCAAGATCCCAGACATGTGAGAACACTACCATCTGCACATTCTTCCACAAGGCATCACCATCTCATTTGGAAATGTGCCATCGTTCCTTCATTATCGTTCTAGAGGGAGTGAGTATCGGGATTTTTCCCCAACAACGTTGTTGATCTATGCACATCAAATGGATTACAGCAGTTCAAGAAAGCAGCTCACTACTACCTTGTCAAGGCCAACTGGGGATGGCCATAAACCCAGCGAAGCTCATATCTCCTGAGTGAATAGAAAGCAAGTTTCTTCTCAGAAGAAACTAGTGTGGCGTGAGGGTTAGAAGCATTGAGTTTGGTTATACAGATATTTTTGTGAAAAATTACAGTGAATTTGTTGTAGAGACTTTGTGGATCAATCAATTCCCATATTAACTAGTCATGGCAAGATGTGATTCACACATGAGGGAAACCCAAACTCAGCTGGACCTTTATGAACTGCGCTGTTCTGCAGCAGAAAAGCCCTTCAGCTGCAGTCAGAGAGTGACAAAAATATTTAAACTGAAGAGTGGCAAAGATCTGTAGGACTATTTAAGCTATTTAAATCCCTAGCATTTTAAAACTTAAAAAAGCTGCTTGTATCCGGTGAGGAGATTTAAAAAAAAATAAAATCTGATCTAGCAGTTACAATACCTGTTTCTTGACATTGTCATGAAGACTTAACATTATGCAGTTATTGATGTATGGTTTCTTTCCACAACCTACAACAATGCAGACAATTTGATCCCAACAGATCAAAGAACGTATTAAAGAATTGACTAGCTGTCATTGTGAGGTTCTGAATAAAACTTTGTTTGGTTTTATTGTTCGAAAAGGCATTCATCATTGGTGCTGTTTAATGGAATGAAGATAATAGGAGGTCTTGTGGAGCAATGGGAACATCTCTATCTCTGAGCCAGAAACTCCAGGTTTAATTCCATTCCAGACTTGTTGGTTATGGAAGGTGTGTTCATTATATAACCAAATAGGTTAGTTGTCAGCCTGTAAATCCTTCTAACATACCTGATGGTACATAGTAAGAGCAGGAGAGTTTGCAGTTTTTTGCCCAAAAGAATGAACCATAGTTTAGGGGATCTGGAAACTCAAGCCCATGTGTTTTACTTCCTTCTTTGAACCAACTGTTTTCTGCTCTGTCCTTAGTGATCAACAATATGTCCGAAGAAGAAACACCTTTTATAAATGTGGAGCTATTGACAACTGGACTTTCATCCTCTGTGAAATGTAGCACTCCTGAACTCTCCTATTTAAACAGAGAGAACTTAGTGGGAAAGACTATAGAGCTATCCAGAATAGAATATGACAGCTTTGAAACACAGAAGATGCTTCGTGAATCAGTCTTGTTCAAATCTGGAATACCAACTATCTCTCCCATATCTAAATTTGTAAACCCCAATTATGAAAGTTTTGAGGAATCCCCTTCAAGTCCTGAGAATACTCGGAAGCCTAGAATTATAAACAATGACAATTATAAAATAGGAACAAAATCATGGAATACAGTTATGTCAAGCAAATCTACATATTCCAAAGGAGCAAATCTCTCAACAATCCTTGAAGAAAGCCAACAAAATGTGGCTTTGTCAGAAACTGAACAGATTCACAAGTCCAGTACTACAGATGTCATGGATGACTCTACAGCTAAAGAAATTGATGTTGAAGATGGCCAAACAATACCAGCATCTCTCAAACTGTTTAGTAAGAATAATACTGATGAAATCCTCAAAGACCAATCCAAGTCACTTTCTCCGAAGTCTCCTGAGAGAGACTCAAGTTATCTTGGGAAATCTATTAGCGTAAAGAAAAGATATAGGAAGAAAAAAATCCCTATTGAACAGGTATGTTTAGAGTTTTTTTTTAATTGTTCATGCAAGATTTGATTTTTAAATCTAATTTACATGCAACAAGATCTGTGGGAGAATTGCTGAACAAATTGACTCTTAGTAACATTTTACTTAAATATGCTTTTTGTATCTGGCCTGAATGCTAATCTGGAGGTCTTCATAATTGCTCATCTCAACTCTGAAAATAGTTCACTTTTTTCCTAAAAATAAAAGCCCTTGACACTGGCACAAATTCATAAATTGGCTCAATTTTTCTTCAGGTTTAAATTATTCCAACAATTTGGCTGTGTCTCCAAACCTAGGTCAGTGGAAATGAATATTAAACAAAAGTTCATAATAGAGAAATAAACATCTTGTATGTTCATCATGCATACAATAGTTACTGTCACTAATGCTAACCAAATAGGATTCTTACTCAACATCCAGTTTGCTTAGTTATGCAGAGGCTTTTAAAATTTCATGGGACTGAGTGTAAAACTTCTCTCCTTAACTATCTTCCAGAAAATTCGGATAAAAGAATGGACAATTCGCCAGCTAATCAACATTGAAGAAGCCACAAAGCATGAACTAATCGTAGAAGCTGACTAATTGTGCAGAAGTGCAGATGCATCTTTGTATTTTCAGTTAATTCTATTATTAAAATAATGGACTCTGCCCATGCTGCACTTGACTTGAAGATACTCAGGGCCAATTCAGAATTCCTAAAATAGGAAAGTGTTCTGTTTACTGGTGTTAACACTTTTTTGTTATCATGAACATGAGATTGTGGGAAAAGGCAAAGAATGATGCCCATTGGAATTATTGCATTTATTATACATTAGAATAATACAAGGTCTTGGGCTATAGTTAGACATTAGAAGTTAGTTGTAGTTCAGTAGTTAACATATTTTGCTTGCTGCAAAGGATGCAAAAAGGCTATTTTTCCTTTTGTGAATGGTACAAGTAAATAAATTACAATATTCAGCAGCCATTCCTTTTCAAAGTTGTTGGCAGTCTCTTTAAATTTAAAATCCAAATTGAGATTAGTAATCATTTCACAAGACAGATAAAATCAGTTTGAGGCCTGGTAATTTTCAGAGATGTTAAATCCATCTGATCCTATTCAAGTTGCTATAGTGGATGCGACTCTCTGGATTCATACCCATTAAATATGGATTATGCTTTACACATTTGAAAACTAGACACAAAATGAATGCATGTATGATTAAGAGATGATTGTTAAGCTAAAATGAGGATGTAGGATTTCACTAATTAGATTTTTTTTTAAAAAAATGGCAATGCAAGCAGTTATCTACTTGTGTAATTTTCCTTACCAATTAGTAGTGACTCAAACTACAATTTACACTTGGATGTTCTTTTGATACCTCAGTCCTATGATATAACTATCCATATTGTTTTGCTTCACAATGTATTTTTCTGCTATTGCAGTAAAATAATTCATTCAGAAATACATAATTGTGTATTTTAATCTATATTAGAATCGATTTAAACCTATAGTGGAAACAGAGATCAACATTACTCGGTACAGTAGTTGCGAAGTGGATTTAATACATTGAAATTAAAAAGTTTTAAATGTTGCGGGGGAAAAGTGCAGTACCTGTGAAAATTGTCTGTTGTAAAAGTAAAGGTTGGCTGCATTAAAATAAGCTAATGAATAGGTGGGATCGAGAGATATAGCTTTCTGGTAGTCTCTCATGGCATTGGGTAGATCACCCGTGAACTGGCTGATCACTCCACGGTTCGTAAACAACTTTGCAGATTTACAGATCTGTAAGAAATAAGACATGCTTATTTTACAATGCTAATTTATTCCACATGATTTATCTTATGTACTAATAATTAGCAGTAATAGCTACAACACTTGTCAAAATTGGATGCCCTGCATTTTATGAGAAGATCCAATATTTACTTATGGTTAGCAATGAATTGCCCAAGCTATGCTGACTGTGTTTGTGCTTTGACTGGCTGATATGTAAAGCTGAATTGACCTAAGGTTCTGTATTTAATTATGCAATAGAAGGAAGAAGAAAATTGTGGTTATTGTAACAAAGGTGATGTAAGTGATTAGTGTAATTATACAGACTCCCTTCGTCCCTCCTTTTGATTTTTGAGAAAATAAATATTCTACAAGAAGCTAAACAGTTAGTTGAAACTGTAGCAGAACTCAGAATGAAGAAAAAGCAATTGCTACAGATATAAATGATCAAAGAGAGTAAAAAATCATATTTGCATAAGCAGGAAACTAAACGGATATAAATAATTAACAACAATACATCAACAGTTGCCTTTAGCATTAGGCAATCCACAGATCATGTCAATCACAAACCAATTAATTTGGTTTGCATCTAACAAGAATCTTAAAATGCTTTCCTGTTTTGTAATATTGCAATAGTATGTTATTTGAAGTCTGTAAATCCTGCTCTGTATTGCAACTCATGTTAACCACCCCACTCCATCTCTGGCAGCATTCTGAGAGTAACCTCCTTTTGCAAATTTTTTAAATAAGTAAAAACTTACATTCTTCAAACTTGCAAGCCCATTAGATATTGTAATAAACATTAAATGATACTTTTCCATTATATATCGTTTACTACCTGTGGCGCCTGTTCTCTGAGCAGCTATTCTGATTTTATTTTGTCCATTCAAAATTGCAGTGGTATCCTAATGCAGTCTTTGACTGATGATGCACATGGACACTCGGATTGTTTACATTCTTACACTGCTCAATGGTGGTGGATCCAACCACAATTGAGTCAATGTGCGCTGTACTACCCTTTCTCCTTTTCAATTTAAATAAGTAGCCCTGCAGTTCAGACAGAGTCAGATTTTTGGGGTCTGAGTCCGTCAGAATGGAGATGAGCACCTTAGAAAAATGGCAGTGATGTCATACAACTGGATGTCTCGTGCCAACCTGGCATCCATCTGGCAATGTGGAAGATTGCCCGGGTAAGCCCTATAGACGAAGAACAGGACAAATCCAACCCAACATATTGCCAAATCAGTACATTCGCCATCGTTAGCAAAGTGATAGAAGGGATCATTGGTGCTATTGAGGACTGAGGCTTGGTTTGGGTTCCTTCAGGATCATTCAGCTCCTGACTGCCTTGGGCCAAACACAGCCAAAAGGTCTGGACTCCAAAGATGAGGATGGGAGACATGAAATGCAGGTCTGCAAATGTGACCACATTTAAATAGGACATTAAGGACTTGTTAAAAAGCTTGTCTCTAGTTTGAATTTTCCATAAGCAGCCTGCACCTATCTATTTCAGACCCCTGAAGCCAAGTGAGGGCCATGAGTTCAGGCCAGGGTGTTTTGACCGCATCAAAGTAACAGGAGGCCTGCAACTGGAAATAGATGCTCTTGCCTCAGACATTCCAAGGTGCTTGGTAGAAGAAGGGCAGAGAGTTAAGCATCAGGAGGTTAGAAAAAGGATAAGAGACGTGAAAAATGACAAATTATCCTGAGCACAGAACCTAATTTACATAGGAAAAGAACCAATGCTGAAGAAAACTGAATCTAAGCAAATGGTCACAAACATCTGTGTACTTAATAGTGTGAATCTCTGCAGCATTTGCAGGCAACTGTACACTGATGATATCTAACCCACATTACAGATAACCTCCTCACCAAGGGTGGGCAACAAATCAGATTCACAACTAATGGGCCTGAGAGCACTGGGTCAGGTTTAAGAACTGTTCAGGTGTTGGCTGCAATACAATCATTGATACAATGATCTCTGTCATTGTGATGCTCTGCTGTGCTCTCCTTAATGCCCAATGTGCGGACCTTGCATTGGTGAGGAAGAGAAGGTAAGAGAGGAGAAGGAATGAGAAGAAATGTCTTCATTCAGAGTCTGAGAAAGTGTCTGAAGAGACAGACTGAGTAATTTATATGAAACAGTAACACAGATTGGGTTTTTGAGAATGCAACACTGAATCCTTGCAGCACTGCACTAGAATGCCTTATTCATCCTTCTGCTTTCTCTTCTTTATCCAGATATAATATCATCACATTCAATTCCATGAGCTCTTCTTTTATATGTAGCACTTCTATTGAATGTCTTTTGGAAATCTAACTATACAATATCCACTGGTTTCCTTTGATCAACACTACTCAAGAAAAGACTCTTTACTTGTTGAACAGGATTTCCCTTACATAAAATCATGCTGACTTATTCTAATTATACTGTGCCTTTCTAAAGTGCATTTTGTTAAGACTTCCTCAATAGATTCCAACAATTTAATACAATATTCCCTTTTCAAATTGTACTATATGGAGATGTGTGCCTTCAAATTTTCATGAAATATTCTTGTGTCTACCTTCAATGCAGCATTGATATCCTGAAATGCTGCAAAGGTATTCAGCATTTGTAGATTAACCATTGCGCGACCTTCATAAGCATCATGAAACATTGGATCAATATCAATTGTAATTGAAAACTGATTCCATGCTTTCTGAAATCTTCCCAGAACCTGAAAGAGGAAAGTCATAATTTCATTAAAGGGAATCATCATTTTAAAAATAAAAATCCTTGATTTTCAATTCATATTTGTGATATATTTTGAGTGTTTATTTAGAGTTGGGGTATTTTAAAATTGCATTTACATCTAGAAGTGGAATTATAAGTTGCAAGGTATAACTTCTAATTTTGGAACATCTATAAATGCAAAACTAAGTTGGTTAAAGCTACAGTGCTAATCAATGTTTTTCTTAGCAATTTATATTTGGTTCAGCAAATCCTTTTTCTTGGGTCTCAAAGTCCTGAAGATATCTTTTAGGGTGTTGCAATTTTTAATTCATTGCTTTCACCAAAGTAATGATAGTTGTTGTGTGAAACAGAAAACATCAAATCTTTTGCAATGTTCACAATCTGGAAATGTTGAGTAAAGCTTTACTCAACAGGATGATTTAAAAGCAACCTCATTAGAATCTCTGTAACCTTCCTCCCAGCTACAATCTTTCTAAAAGCATCCCACCTTTTTATCTTAGGACACTTAAAATTCACACTGTAGAATTCCTTGTTTGTTATACCTTTTGGGCTTCTCTTTCAGTTTAACATTCTCCTTTTAAAGTTCACCCCTTTGATTAACATTTTGTTGACTCTTCCAAATATCTCCTATCTTCATTCAACATCTATACTTTTCTTCACGCCTCTCCGAAAAATATCCAAAGATGCTTTGTAAATGCAAATTATGTAGTTCTAGAAAATGTTTCTTAAATGCAACTTTGGAACGTTAATACTTAAATAATAAATCACAGGGAACCTCCTTACCTGAAAGTTGTATCCTAGGTTGAGTCTAGATTTCACACATTTGGGATTTAAATGAAGTGCTTGCACAAAGTCTTTTTGTGCTTGCTTTATTCCAGCTGTGTCACCAAAATCCATGTACACATTCCCACGTCCATTATACGCATCCACAAAAAATGGGTCCAATTTCAATGCTTGACTGAAACTGTTTACAGCTTCTTCTAAATAATGAAGTCTTAAACACAATTCATAGAATAAAACATTTGTTCATTCTTTGTAATCTTTTACATTCTATTATCTATACTTAATGGTCCACCTTGATAAATTGACCATGTTGAGCTGCCGAGGCACCTCAAATCTTTATTCCTTCCAAAAGACAGAATAATTTAATTAAATTTTTTTCAGTTAATATGATACAAATAATATATCAAAGTTTTATACCTTTTGTATTGGTTATGGAGGTAGATTTTCACTTTACTGCCTAGGCATAATTATGTGGCTGTGATCTATTGTTAGTTATGCAAATTGTTCATATTTCATCTCCAATAATTCTACAGAGATGACTTTAGACTTTTAACTCTCTTCTCACAAATAAAAGAGGCTAAAGGGGGGAAATCATCTGTGTGGGCCAAGGGTCCAGAAGGTCCATCACATCCTGTCCAATCACATCACATCCAATGAAGCTGAATCACTGCCACTCTATGTTGATGATAGATGTCTAGCTCTGATTCTAACCAACTTGGATTGAAGTCTCAGATTTGGTCACAGTCCACTACTTTAGGTCCTACCAGGTTGACTAAAATACTGGATTTGGAATCTCTATCAGCTTCCCATGGATTTCTAGTGGGAACAAGCTTTCAGGCGAGAGTCTTGTTTCTCTGGGCTGTTTTCCTTACTGACTCCAGGATCTGTAAAATGCTTAAATGTGGAAAAAGTTGCATGGTAACCATTAGTATAGGGGCCTCTAATTTTCTCAAAGCCAGTTTTGCTTTTCAGTAATCAAGGCAATAAATGCTATCTCTTACCCCCTTGAAAGTTTTGTTTGGCTGTTTCTCCAAAGTTACTTCATTTTCAGAACTAAGGAGGTGACTTGCAGCACACATTAAACTGTTGAGTTCAAATTCTAAGAAATCACATGCTAAAAAAAACTCTTATCCAGCCTAAGAATGTCCAAATAGTCCATGAATATGTATTCCCAGCTCCATTGTCATCCTCGGCTTCATTGGCCCCTCTACTGAAGGACTATCTATGCAGCAGGGCCAAATGGCAGCAGCTATGCCTGCAATGAGATGCTATCATCGGCACCTCTGGTGAGGACTACTACATCTCAACCACAAGAAGAGACAAGTGAGGAAAGCTGCTTCTACCTCTTATGAATGGAGGCCACCACGTCAGGTTGATCACTAGTGTCTTTCTGTAATTCTGCACTGTTTTCAGTAGTGTTTTTTTTTCAATAACATGTTAATACTAACTTTGAAATCAGGTCTGTGAGCTTCCCTTTGTTAACAAGGAAAGATACACAAAATGACCATGGACAGCAAGGCTTTGTTAACAGTTGTGAAATCTTTGGGTAGATGTGTATCCTTAATGTCAATAAGACTTTTACATGCTCCAGGCTGCTCCCCAATTTCAATGGAAGTGTTGGCAGTGGCAGCATTATGCCATTCCTTGAGAGTCAGAAGGAGTCACTTGATGTCCTGTGTCTGATAACCCCTGACGTTTACTGCACCCTGACCAGATCCTTGAGTCCTGGGTATAGTCTGGCCACCTCCCTGTGCAGACAGACTGCCTGTATGTTCTGAATTTTCACTCTCCATCTCCTTTTACTCCTCCTCCTCCTCTTCTATGGCTTTCTCATCCTTTTCCTCCAGTAAACTGTCACCTTTTAAGGGACTCATCCTCTTCAAGGTCCAGCCCACTTTGAAGGGCCATGTTAGGGAGTGCATAGAAAGTGATCACAATGTGTAAGGCATTCGCAAGGCACCAGCCAATCAATCCAGTCAGTGGAGTCACAACTTGAGAACCCCAATGGTAACTTACGCTGATTTGAGGACCTGTTCTCCAGGCATGGCCTTATTCTTCATGATTATCCTTCTCCCACTGTTATTTCGGTCCTGGCCCCTACTCCCTCCCCAGGGTCTGCCAGTCTGGCAACATTAAGATCTCATGACCAACTTGTACTTGAACTCCTGGCTCTTTCCCTTCAGGGGACTGTCTGTTGTCCTAGCAGTGAGGCTGATCACTTGGTCTCCTCAAACCTCTTGGAGGCAAATGTCTGGTCTGGCAACAGAAGGACCAGCTCTAACTAATTAATGCATCCAAGTATATCCACTCAGTTTTCTATCCCATGATCTTGTGCACACCCATGAAAATCAGAACATCCCCCTTCACATGCTCATCAATCTTGTCAATTGGCCTACCTAATTGATCCGAGTGGACTGCAGATCAATCCCATCACCAACTCCACCCTATTAAAGCAGGCCAATCTAGAATGGTGTTGGGAAATCAACAACTTGCTAATATTAGAGATAACAAGGTGTAAAGCTGGATGACCACAGCAGGCCAAGCAGCATCAGAAGAGCAGGAAAACTGACGTTTCGGGCCTAGACCCTTCTTCAGAAAAAAAATTTTTCTGAAGAAGGGTTTAGGCCCGAAACGTCAGCTTTTCTGCTCCTCTGATGCTGCTTGGCGTGCTGTGTTCATCCAGCTCTGCACCTTGTTATCTCAGATTCTCCAGCATCTGCAGTTCCTACTATCTCTGAAACTTGCTAATATTTCTGTTTCTACTCCACATCCCCTGAAACTCCTCAGTCCTGCCTTCAGTTGCATCTCTGGTGAGAGCTAAAGACCATAACACAATGTGATTACATTAAGGGCCTTTTCACCTTTCAACATATTCAATGATTCTGCCATCTGTTAGATACAAAATGCCTAACGTTTCTTGAATGGGATTTGAATTGAATTAAATTTTATCCTGTAGCTATATTAAACATAAAATTAATGGGGCCATCAATGAGATTTGGCTGAGTTACAAAACTGAATTAGTGGGATTGAGGTCGGTATATTTGGAAAGAGTTAGAGAATGAACTTGAAATGAATCATTTCCTCCTATAAACTGTCTTCTTTGAGGACCTCATCCTTTTTAAGGTCCAGCCGTTTGAATGGCCATGTTACAGAAAGTAAGCAAATCAACAAAATGGGCAAGACATTCTGTCCTTCACCAATATTCAGCCTGTAGGGAAAGTATTTTCTTTGTTGTTGTAGGGGGGCAAACTGATTTTCACATTCTTGCTACATACTACAAGGTTAGACAAATTCCATTTTCCTTAATTTAGAGTGGGTTGTCTCAATCTCATACTATTACTTTGGAAATGTCAGAGAAATGTCACAAATAGCTGTTTAAAGTAAGTTTTTTTCTCCTTGACTTACTTATGACAGCAGATTGCTACAGCATGATGAATGTAAGCATTTTCTGGTTCTTCTACAATTGCTGCTTTAAAGTCCTGCAAGTGAAAAGTCCAAATCATTAACTAATGTTAGCCAACTGACTGAATACAATCCATAAACAAAGGATAACTCCTCAAAATGGGCTGTTGGCAGTCTGTTGCTTTCATTGGACAAAATTTTAGACTTGCTTTTACTTGTTCACCTAATTACAAATACCATGGAATTACTGATATCCATACAAAAATATTGTCACAAACTTTGTCGGGACTGATTATTAGAATTTCCAACAATGAAATTAAAGCAATAAAGTTTTAACATTTTTTCTGAAAAAAATTAAAATCAAATCATCAAATAAATATTAGTTGCCTATCCAGTAACATGCCAAACTACATAACATAACCGAGTTTTGTCTTGATGTGATTACATATGTTTACACTTTATAGAACACTTAAACACTATCCTTTCTGTTCCAGTTTCTTTTTCTTCAATCAGTGTATAGGATTTTCTCAGCATTTGGTGCAGTAACTAACTGGCACCTGTGGTTCAATAGCACACAAGCCAGAACCCCAGTCTTCATGATAACAAAACCACATAGGCTTGTTGTTGGACAGATCACAAATTGCATGATTCTCTACAGTATTAATTTCTCCTTAAAATAAGGACATAGCCCAAAATTTAAACTTCCCATTCACAACAATACTAATTAGCGTTTTTCAACAGCTTTCCTCCATACAGGATATCAGTCCTAAAGACAAATGACAGATCTCTAAACACATTCGAACACCAAGTTGGTTCTCAATAAATCTCTTGAAATAGACAGATTATTCTTCCTAGGTCATCTCAATGCTATTTCAATTCATAATTCCAAGCTTCTGCCCTGCTTAATCAGGGTTCAATAGAAAATTAAAAAATGGTATCTAAATTAAAACATTTGTATGCTTTGTGCTATTAAAATCTATTTGTGTTTGATTACACCTTTGCAAAGCTTGTTGGTTGTTTTGCCTATAGTAAAGGTGCTATAAAATGCAAGTCGTTATTCTCATTATCAAAGTCTCTACAGAACACTGCAGTGCCAGGTCTGTGAACTACAATTAAATAGTGTCAGCCTTCTAGGTCACTGAGGCATGCTCTAAATCGGCCTTCAGCTTCACTTAAATTAAGGAATTGAACTGCAGGGTTCAGCCAGCTTATGATAGAAAATGATGTAAATTTCCAGCAGCAGTCTGAGATGGGCATGGAGAAGCCATTGAGGGAGAGGAAATTGAGAGGGATGGATGAGGTAAATCAAAAATGTAACAGAATTACTTCTAATTCATGAAGGCATGTGAAAGGAGACAAGTGATAACTGAAAGTGTTCTTCAGGAACACGGCATAGACTCTTTCCCTTCCCAGCCATTTTATTACAACTCTGGTATGAATTTTCACAATGAAGCAGTGGGTCCATACCTTACTCAAAACTGTTATTCTGGAAGACCAGCCGAAACCAAGCACCCACCATTTCCATTGAGGTGAGGGGCATGGGAGAGAAAGAAGGGTGGGTTGTAATTTTCACATACCCCTTGACAGAAACAAATACATATGTAAGGGTCCTTAACAGTCATATTGGATTCAAAAAGATCACCCCTCCTTTCTCCATAGATATTGCCAGATCTGCAGCAACCACTGTATTTTGCTTTTGTGTGCATGTAAAAGTGCAGCTATCTCCAGTCAAATACAATTTTCACAAGCAAGATATCCAAAACATGACTTGTGACTTTAAACTAAAGAAGATTCTAACTTACTGGAGTTCTTTGCAGAGGTAAGATACCTTTTGGAAAAGGGAAGGGTACTTCTGAGATCCAGGGATATTTTAGGGAGAGGTGAAGTATCTTGTGCACTCGCTAAATGTAGATATGAACATATGTAAGCAACGTAAAAAATTGCAATCTGTCAAATTGTAAAGGCATCTAAAGCACTTAGAGTTTAAAATAAAAGAAATTGGCTGCCTTCAATTTAAAGCAAACGTGATTGCAGTTTACTCTGTTGACATAAGCTTGAGGCCAAACCTAGGATTTATATTGCATTACTGACTTCACAACCTAGCATCACCATGGGAGGTTTGCATTTACGTTTTCCATTTGATTAACAGTTCCAAGTCATTATAAAGTCTTCAATGCAGAGCTATGAATACAACTGCTTGTTTTTATTTTTAGAAATGATTAAGTATTAGAAACAGGATATAGTAGGGAATGAGGATTTGTTTTATCAATAAATGTTCTTCTTTAAACAGTCAATTAATCAGTATACAGTAAGAACTTTATTTAATTTCCTATCAGTGTGGGTCCTGTGGTCTGCCACAGTAGATAGTAGGTGGATTGGCATGGAGACTGTAAGTGCAAAGGATGGTAGGTGGGGGTAATTGGCTGGTGTGATATGATGCTCTAAATTGTTTCCAGGGCTGTTGGGCCTGGCTATCAATAAGATCTGCCCTTCACCCCAAGCACCAAATACCTGACTATCTGGGGTTCTTTCCACTGAGTTGGGTTTGTGGGTCTGCACTCCTGTCATAGGAGTGACATTTCAGGCCTTTGGTGTAGGTAATTTCCAACAAATTACTTCAGGATAACTGACCAGACCTCACGCAGACCTGATTATTCTGAACACAACAACTGACAGAAGCTTGCACTACAAATCAATTTTAAAAGATGTCCTGATATCTAGCTACATAGAAAATGTAACCCCATTTTTCAGATATAGCACCTTCATGGTGTACCAAGATGGCATACACATACCATGTAATATTTACAAGGTTAGACACTTAAGATTCAAATTGCTAGGCCTATTTCCATAGTAAAATAATTGCAGATTGGGTCTCATAAACCAAAGATTTATTGATATTCTTAATGTTTTGCTTCATTGCATTGCAAAATTAAAGTAAATTAAATGGCCATTTCTGAAGAGGGTCTAGGCCCGAAACGTCAGCCTTCCTGCTCCTCTGATGCTGCTTGGCCTGCTGTGTTCATCCAGCTCTACACCTTGTTATCTCAGATTCTCCAGCATCTGCAGTTCCTACTACCTCTGAAACAATTTTAACCCCACTGCGAAGCCTCTTCTAAGGATGCCTACCCTGAAGAAGTTACACTCCGCCCTCCAGAAAAACCTCAGTGGATCTCTCCCATTTCTGAAGAAGGTCTAGGCCCGAAACGTCAGCCTTCCTGCTCCTCTGATGCTGCTTGGCCTGCTGTGTTCATCCAGCTCTACACCTTGTTATCTCAGACACGAGGGAGGAGCTGGCCAAAGTTAATTGGAAGGACAGCCTAGCAGGGAAAGCGGTAGAGAAGCAATGACAGGAAATTCTGGGGGTAATTTGAGAGACACAGCAAAAATTCATCCCAAGGAAGAAGATACATACTAGGGGGAGAATGAGGGAACCATGGCTGACAAGGCAAGTCAGGGACAGCATAACGGCAAAGAAAAAGCAGACGATGTGATGAAGATTAGTAGGAAGCCAGAGGATTGGAAAGTTTAAAAAAGCAATAAGTTGGGAGAAGTTTGTTTTTTAGATATCTAAAAGGTAACAAAGCAGCAAGGGTGGACATTGGACCACTGGAAAATGAGGCTGGAGAAGTAGTAATGGGGAATGGAGAAATGGCAGAGGGACTGAATAGACATTTTGCATTCCTTTTCACATTGGAAGACACCAGTAGCATACCAGAACTTTGACAGAGTCAGGGGGGCAGAGGTCAGTGTACTGGCCAACAGCAAGGAGAAGGTGCTGGGGTAACTGAAAGGTCTGTCGGTGGATAAATGACCCAGGCCAGATGGACTACACTCGGGTTCTGAAGGAGATTGTGGAGGCATTGATGGTGATCTTTCAGGAATTACTGAAATCAGGGAAGGTTCTCGAGGACTGGAAAACAGCTAGTATAACATTTTTGTTTAACAAGGGGAGGCAGAAGACAGGAATCAATTGGCCAGTTAGCCTGACCTCAGTGGTAAGATTTTAGAGTCCATTATTAGGATGAGAATGTGCAGAACTTGAAAGTGCAGGATAACATAGGGCTAAGTCAGCACGGCTTTGTCTAAGGAGGACATGCCTGATAAATCTATTAGAATTCTTTGAGGAGGTAACAAACAAGTCAGTCAAAGGAGAGCCAGTGGATGTATTTGGATTTCCAGAAGGCGTTTGACAAGGTGCTGCACAGGAGGCTGCTGAATTAGATAAGAGTTCATGGTGTTAGGGGCAAGGTACTTGCATGGATAGAGGACTGGGAAAAGGCAGAGAATGGGGATAAAGGGGTCTTTTGCAGGATGGCAGTTGCTGACTTAATGGAGTTTTGCAAGGGTCAGTTTTGGGACCACAATTATCACGTTATAGATTAGCAAACTGGATGATGGAACTGAGGGTATTGTTGCTAAGTTTGCAAATGACAAACATAGATGGAGGGACAGGTTATGTTGAGGTAGCAAGGGAAGCTGCAGGAGGACTTGGGCAGGCTAGGAGACTGGGCAAAGATGTGGTGGATGGAATACAACATGGGAAAGCATAAGGTTATACACTAGATAGGAAGAATAGAGGTGTAGACTATTTTTGAAATGAGGAAAGACTTCAGAAATCTGAAGCACAAAGGGACTTGGGAAAACAGATAACAAGGTGCAGGGCTGGATGAACACAGCAGGCCAAGCAGCATCAGAGGAGCAGGAAAACTGACGTTTCGGGCCTAGACCCTTCATCAGAAATGAGGGAGGGGAAGGGGCTTCTAAAATAAATAGGGAGAGAGGGGGAGGCGGATAGAGGATGGATAGAGGAGAAGATAGGTGGAGAGGAGACAGATAGGTCAAAGAGGCGGGGATGGAGCCAGTAAAGGTGAGTGTAGGTGGTGAGTTAGGGAGGGGATAGGTCAGTCCAGGGAAGACGGACAGGTCAAGAGGGCGGGATGAGGCTAGTTGGTAGGAGATGGGGGTGGGGCTTGAGGTGGGAGTAGGGGATAGGTGGGAGGAAGGACAGGTTAGGGAGGCGGGGACAAGCTGGGCTGGTTTTGGGATGTGGTCGGGGGACGGGAGATTTTGAAGCTTGTGAAGTCCACATTGATGCCTTTGGGCTGCAGGGTTCCCAGGCGAAATATGAGGTGCTGTTCCTGTAACCTTCGGGTGGCATCGTTGTGGCACTGCAAGAGGCCCAGGATGGACATGTCGTCTGAGGAATGGGAGGGGGAGTTGAAGTGGTTCGCGACTGGGAGGTGGAGTTGTTTAGTGCGAAGCAAGCATAGGTGTTCCGCAAAGCAGTCCCCAAGCCTCCACTTGGTTTCCCCGATGTAGAGGAGGCCACAATGGGTACAGCAGATACAGTATACCACATTAGCAGATGTGCAGGTGAACATCTGCTTGATGTGGAAAGTCTTCTTGGGGCCTGGGATGGGGGTGAGGGGGGAGGTGTAGGGGCAGGTGTAGCACTTCCTGCAGTTGCAGGGAAAAGTGCCAGGGGTGGTGGGGCTGGAGGGGAGTGTGGAGCGGACAAGGGGGTCACGGAGAGAGTGGTCCCTCCGGAAGGCAGATAAGGGTAGGGAGGGAAAAATGTCTTTGGTGGTGGGCTCAGATTGCAGATGGCGGAAGTTCGGAGGATGATGCGTTGGATCCGGAAGTTGGTGGGGTGGTACGTGAGGACGAGGGGCCTTCTGTTTTGGTTGTTATTGCAGGGAGGGGCTGTGAGGGATGAGTTGCGGGAAATGCGGGAGACATGGTCGAGGGCGTTCTCGACCACTGAGCGGGGGAGGTTGTGGTCCTTGAAAAACGAGGACATCTGAGATGTTCAGGAGTGGAATGCCTCATCCTGGGAGCAAATGTGGCGGAGGCGAAGGAATTTGGAATAGGGGATGGCATTTTTGCAGGAAGGTGGGTGGGAGGAGATGTATTCTAGGTAGTTGTGGGAGTCGGTGGGCTTGAAATGGATATCGGTTTCCAGGTGGGAATCCTAGTTCAGAATTCTCTTAAGGTTAACATGCAGGTTCAGCTGGCAGTTAGGAAGGCAAATGCAATTTTAACATTCATTTGAAGAGGGCTAGAATACAAGAGCAGAGATGTTCTGCTGAGTCTGATCAGACTGCGCTTGGAATATTGTGAGGACCTTTGGGCCCTGTATCTAAAGAAGGTTATAGTGGCCTTTGAGGGGTTCCAGAGGAGGTTTACAAGAATGAACCTGGGGATGAAGGGCTTGTCATATGAACAACAGTTAAGGACTCTGGTTCTGTACTCGATGGAGCTTAGGAAGATGACAGAGTCTCTTGCTGAAACCTACAGAATACTGAGAGGCCTGGATAGAGTGGACGTGGAGAAAATGTTTCCACTAGTAAGACAGACTAGGATTTGAGGACACAGAATGAAGGGACCACCCTTTAGAACTGACATGAGAACTGACCCAGAGGGTGGTTAATCTGTGGGACTCAGTGCCACAAAGGGCCGTAGAGGCCAAGTGAATGAGTGTTCTCAGGACAAAGAAAGGTTCTTGATTGATTGGTAAGGGGATCAAGGGTTAGGGTGGCACTGTGGCTCAGTGGTTAGCACTGCTGCCTCACAGTGCCCGGGAGCCAGGTTTGATTCCACCCTCAGGCGACTGTCTGTTTGGAGTTTAAACGTTCTCCCCGTGTCTGCGTGGGTTTCTGCTGTGTGCTCCAGTTTCCTCCCACAGTCCAAAGATGTGCAGGTTAGGTGGATTGGCCATGCTAAATTGCCCAAGTGTCCAGCGATGTGTAAATTAGGTGGATTAGCCATGGGAAATGCAGGGTTACAGGGATAGGGTAAGGGAATGGGTTTGGTGGGATGCTCTTCAGAGGGTCAGTGTGAACTTGTTGGGCTGTATGGCCTGTTTCTGCACTGTGTGATTCTGTGATTCTAAGAATTATAGGGAGAAGGCAGGAGAATGGGTCTGAGAAACATATCAGCGATGATTGAATGGCTGCACAGATTTGATGGGCCAAATGGCCTAATTTTGCTCCTGTATCTTATGGTCTTTTAATTTTCACTCCTGTCTCAGGAGTGTAGACCTACAAACCCAACGTGGGAGAAAGGACCCTAGACAGTCAGTCAGAGTTTTGATGTTGGGGATGGAGGGCTGATGTCAATGGGAATCAGACTGACCAGCCCTAGGAACAGTTCAGAATCAGCCTTTTGGGCTGCAAAATGTAGAGGAGTGCTGTAAGAAAAAGAATTCTACAAAATCTAGCCACTTTGCCCTCAGCCCCTCAAACCCCACATTCCCCATACCCCATTATGCTAACCCATGGCATCTCATGCCCCTATACCTACCACAGTGGCCCCCATACCCTCCATTCCCAGCAATTATCATCTTCTTCTACAAACCTATGTAAATTAATTACTGTCTGTTGGAAGGGCCAGAGCTGGTGTGTTATGTTTTTTGTCTTCACATGGCTGACAAACAAAAAATCACCATTTGGAAACTGTATGAATCTATGTTCTCCAACAGTGCACCAAACATTTATCATTCTTTACTTGCTGAAAGTCCTTGGTCGTCTTATTTATTGTGCTGACCTTTAGTGCATTCTGATGGTCATCCATCTTCAAATATAACAGACCACGATTAACGAACACCTTCAAATTCAATTTTTTGTGGGTGCCAAGGAGCAGAACTATCCCATAGTCTTTCAACGCCTGAAAAATGTTACAGAATATTTAAATTGAACAATAAATTTTATTTGACAACATGATAAACCTAGTTGCACATATTAAACATTCTTGAATAGACTGTTTTTATTTGGGCTTTTAAACAGCTCTTAAACCTGCTTTGTTTTTCCAATTTTTGACCACCATAGGTTTGCAGGATTCAAAGGGATCAATATGACATTGAAGAAGAATAGGGAACTATGTGAAAGTGGAGGGATAGTACTCCTAATCAAAGATGGTATTGCTGCAATACTTACAGCTGATCTTGGCTCAGGAAATCAGGATGAAGAATCAGGTCGGATGGAGATGAGTAAACAATAGGGGGAAAAGGTCACTTGTGGGAGTGACCTCAAGGCCTCCCAACAGTAACCACAGGAAATAGCAGGAAATACAGAAAATGATATATTGGGTGATTGTGATAAAAGCAATGCTTGTGAATGTCTATCCTGTCAAATAGCCTCAGAATCAGGACCAGGGGACATGACAGCCTTTAATCCCATTAATATACACTATCTTCAGTGATAGTGGTTGTTCTCAGTTTCTCTCCCCCTTTCCTTCTTAATCATCGACTATTCTTCAGATAACCTGTCATCTACTTTACTGCCATTCTCTTCGACAGCTTTCTGAAATTACCTGGGGTGGCTTCTTTGCAAAAAGTCATTGAAAGTTTACTGTTGACACTGAGGGTTTTTAATAAGGTTTCCTGCAAAACATATTACTGGGAATAACTGCTGGCTTGGAAAAGGTTCTTGTTATTGTCTGATTAGAAGGAAGCATGCTGAGAATCACCTGAGTTGGAGGAATGCCTGATAAGAATAAGCTGTCAATTTGATCTCTCTAATTTCTGAAAAGAAACCCCTCTTATTGAGTTCAGGTTAAAGCAATTTGTTCTTTTGAAAAGTGATTGAAGAAGCATCTCGAGACTGTATTTTCTGAGCAAGTTATGTTTTCAAGATTTCAGAGACAACCATGCCTGATCAGTGAATTGACCACACACTAGAACATCAGAGCCACAGACATTGGAATATCCTATACTACGTTCTTTTGCCTTCAAGAATAACCTGTTGGTCACATTGTTTATTTCTTCAGAAAGCCAATTGCTACAGAGAATCATGTATGGTAAATAATTAGAGGGATAAGCTTTTATTCTTTATTACTGATGCTCTGTTAACCAGTGATGCATCTTAATGAATACATTCTGTTTCGATAATAAAGAAATAAAATTGATCCTTTTACTTAAAAACAGATATAGATAAATTATTTCATTGGTCACCTGGGTAACCAGAACAAGTATTTTATGTTGTGTCCTGTGGTGTACTGGAACTGGGGCAATGGTACATTCTTCCAGATTCAGTCATAACATTCATAATATTTGACATGTCATTTGGTCAGTACAAAATCCTCTGTCTACCTATTGACTTTAAAATAAGCCCAGGTGTTTTCCAGCAGAAAGTAACTGAGAGACACACAGAATACAAAGGAGCAGCGAAAAAGTTGGTAATATCCAGATCTCTGGTGTAGATGTGAAAGATCACGACCACCCAACTACAGGAAGTCATTGAGACAGCAAAGAAAGCTGGGATCCAGCTAAACACTGACAAATGCAATGTGAAATTGCTGGAGTCCAAATCTTCAGAATGATGTACTCAATTAATAGAGTCAGCTGAGTCCTGAAAAGTCAATGCCAACTCTGAGATGGAAACTTCAACAGAAGAAAAAACATTTGAGAAACGTTATACATGGAATGGAATGTTAACGTGCAGGTACGGCCAGATATTAGGCAGCTAAATGGGATGGGTAAACATGAATAAAGGATGCTTCCTACAATTGTACAAGGTTTTAGTTAGTCCCTATCTGGAATTGGTGTGAATTTTTGATATTTAAAGATAGATATGTCTTGCATTGGAGATAATACAGAAAAAGCTTACTGAATTGGTCCCTGGGATGAGAGAATTGTCTTATAATGAAAGGTTAAATAAATTCATCATATGTTCTTTGCGGTTTGTATGAATGACAGGTACTGTCATTGACATATTAAAGAATTTAAAGGGGTTTGGTAGGATGGATATGGTTGTTCATTCAGTATTGAGATTCTTTGGATGTCTCCAGAAGATTATGTATGCTCCATCAGTGAATACAAGGGAACATATGGGAAAATGGAGTTAAAGCCCACGATCATACTGAATTGCAGACCAGGCTTGATGTGCAATGTGGTCTACTCCTGGTCCTCTTTGTCATATTCTTATGTCCCTTATCATGATGAAGTACCTGAGAACTTTCAAACGTCACAGCAAATCTAAGAGATCTGATGAAAGATGATCCTGAGTAGAAGTGGTTGGAGTCACACAACAAGACTCCCAGCAGACCCAAAGAAATAGAATACAAGAAGACTGGCCCGTCATACTAAAACAGAAAGAAACTTGTCATTGTGTAAGTAGATGCTTACACAAAAGGATTAGGAGCAGCCCTGTTACAAAGGAGAAAATGGAAATTATTTATATCCAAAACTGTAACCTTAGCTGAAAACATATCTAAACATAGAAAGAGATTTTTTTGGCAGTTGTGTCTGAATGTGAGAAATTCTGTATATATCTGTGAAGGGGAATGTTTGCAGCAAAAACTGTTCATCATCCATTGGACATATCTACAAGAAAACTCTGTGTGAAGCTCCAGCAAAACTGCAAATATTGCTCTTGAGGCTTCAAAGTTATTATTTCACTTCGAAATGCAAGCTAGAAGGGGAATGGTGCCAGGAGGCATCCTATGTTGCTTGTCACCACAGGAGAACATAAGACGAAAGATCTAAGATCATCATCCAAAGCACCACTAAAATGGACTTAAGTCAGAGATGAGACCAACAAAAATGAACAGTTAAAGATGTTCCATCAGTGATCTAGAGATGGCCTGATAAGATACGGCAAAGAAAGTGGCAGTATTGTTCTATCAGTGATGACATCTCACTGGAAGGTAGTGTTCTGCTGGCCAGATCTAGAGTCACTACCCAAAAACAATGCAGCTAGAAGCTCCCTAGAAGATACATGGGAATGGCCAGTATAAGCTCAGAACCAGATCAGTGCATTAGATAGGCACTACAAAGACCTTGAAAGATGGAGGTTAGAGTAGTCCAGTCACCGCATGGTTAGGGGAATGGTAGATGGGTGAACTTAATTGGGCAAGAAGCTAAAAGCAGATTCTTGATGTTAGGATAAACTTCAATTTCTCCCCTTTTAGATGGCAGGTTTATATTGCCAACAAATGCATTTGCATTTCATTAATATCACAACTTGTCAAGATTAACTTCGCTTTCCCAATTAGCTTTTACCCAATCAAGAGCATGACCTTATACCATATTTCCAAAGGAACACAAGTTTATAGAAAGATCCGTCCAGATGGTCAACAGAACGCTTACAAAATAGAAATCCCACTTTAATGTCATCTGAAAATTGTAAGTCATCTTGCTCCTTATAACAATGACCTTTTTTAATTCATATTCCACTCAGCCTCAGGACTTACAATGTATTTGTTCTATTATACCTTTTGAAGATCATTCATTTGCTGGTGGCAGACAGCTCTGTTAAAATAACCCAAGATGCAGGTCTCATTCATGTTTATTGCTTCAGTTAGATCCGCAATCGCCAAACGATATGCCTGCAAAGGAAAAGGTTCTCAATAATGTTTTAGTAAAACACAAGATAGTGATGATTTCTAGAAAGAAAAACAACATGAAATATCACACATGTATTAAAGCTGTTTAGTTAAATAACATTCAACAGCCCCATCATATACAATACTTGACTTCTGGCAATAATTTGATCACTCAAATATGGCACTAAATAGTTGATGTGTGTAGTGGTTGGAATGAAGTCAGCCAGGTAGACCTCATAGAATGTGAGTTCTTTGATTGGGGCTGTTAACCTGGTCCAATCAGGGAGCCCTGGCTGACAGATATAAACAGGAATGTCAGACATCCTGCTCACTCTGAGGGCTGGCTCTGAGGAAACTGGATCAGTGTCAAGTACTCTCCTTGTGTAAACAAAGGGTAACTTGATGACAGAGTACCAGCCTCTGTAGAGTTGTTTTAGTGGTTATGAGAGAAAAGCACACTCCTAACGAAATTCACTCGCAACCATCATCTTTGAGTTAGGGTAAGCATTTCTCGCATCACGCCATTATTTAGGAAGCTTGACTTATTCAATCCTGCTGTCAAAGACTAGGCACAGGATGTGGAAAGAATATGTTTTTTTTTCCAGGCAAATGACATTCGCGGAGATGAAAAGCAAGCAGTAATTTTCCTGATAGCTTGTGGACACGCAGTTTTTTCAGTTATTAGGAGCCTAACTTTCCCTGAGGCATCAGCTTCTAAAACTTTTCAAGTGTTGACAGATTTAGTTAAGAATATTATGACCCCAAGCTGCCTCTAAATCTGAGATGCTATTGGTTTTACTTGGCAATTTGAGAACCAGGGGAATCTGTATAGGAATTTTTGACAAGGTTAAGATGATTAGCAGAGGCAAGTGACTTTGGTTTAACCCTTTTGAGATACTGAGAGATCGTTTGAGATGTGGGATTAATGATGAAACCATGCAAAAGCACCTAAGAGCTGAAGCTCAATTGGACTTCAAACAGGCACTACAACCGGCTTTATCATTCGAAAATGTGGCATATAGAATATGAGTTGCAGGGTATTCTGATGGAAGTGGACACCCTCTCCAGTCTGACTGAGCTTGGGAAACACCACTTGAGTAAAGTCAAGAGACTTTACTGGAGAATGCTGGAGAATCTGAGATAACAAGTTGTAGAGCTGGATGAACACAGCAGGCCAAGCAGCATCAGAGGAGCAGGAAAGCTGATGTTTCGGGTCTAGACCTTGGCCTGCTGTGTTCAACCAGCTCTACACCTTGTTATCTCAGATGCCTTGGCCTGCTGTGTTCATCCAGCTCTACACGTTGTTATCTCAGATTCCCTCTGATGCTGCTTGGCCTGCTGTGTTCATCCAGCTCTACAACTTGTTATCTCAGATTCTCCAGCATTGGCAGTTCCTACTATCTTGAGTAAAGACAATTGCTTAATCTCCCTCAGGTCATATCCTGAACAGAGGTGCTCTAGGTCAGTCCACAGCAAAACCCCAAAACAAATTCAAGGCTTAGCCAAACAGTTAAAATTTTCTTCTTTGCTCGAGACAGCAAAAGAATCCCACTAGACCTAAATTGAGCAAGAGAACTATAGGCCAGTATCCACTACAATGCACACCCTACATCTAGTTTGAAAAAATTAAATTGCTTAGCAGCATCCAAATCAGAACCAATCAAAATAAATGTCTGGTTAAACAGTCACCTGTTTCTAATGGAGGTCAATATCAGCCCGGCTGTTTCAATGATCACAGAACCAGTCTTTCCCAAAATTCACTCTGGACTCCAACCCTTAAGTTTGCGCAAGACCTCGGCTAGACAGAGAACCTATACCAGGGAACCTTTACAGATTAAGGGTACATCTGTGGTTCTGGTCTCTTATGAGAAGCAACTGGTTCAGTTACCAGCGATTGTAGTAAAAGGCTTGGGGCCCAAGGTTGATAGGGCGAAATTGGTTGTGGAAGATTCACCTAGATTGGCTCAACATTTTTCGATGAGAAAATGGCTGCCTGAGTGAAGCCCTAATTAAATACCCAGAAGGCTTTCAGGAAGGTCGAGCGACTATCAAAGGAGCCAAGGCCATCTTGCATGTCGACCAGGAAGCAATTCTGTGATTTTGCAAGGCCCACCCAGTGGCATTTGCCTTACGGTCAAAAGTAGAGGCAGAAATTAGAAGGCTGGAAAATGGAGGAATCATCAAATCACTGCAGTTTGCAGAACAGGCAGCACCAGTTGTACCAATTAGGAAGCCCGATGTGTCGGTTTGCCTTTGAGGGTATTTTAAACAAACGGCACTGAATAAATACTCAATCCCTTGCATAGAGGATTTAACTGCAAAGCTGGCAAGGGGAGCTGTCCTTCACAAAGGTAGACATGAGCCATGTGTGCTTGCAACTGCCGTTAAAATGAGCATTCCCAGAAGTATGTTACAATTAATACCCATAAGGGTTTGTACCAATATACGAGACTGCCATTTGCCAGTTGAGAGGGTTGGATTATGAGGAGAGACTGAGTAGACTGGGATTATACTCATTGGAATTCAGAAGAATGAGGGGAGATCTTATAGAAACATATAAGATTATGAAGGGAATAGATAACGTGGAGGCAGGGAGGTTGTATCCGCTAGCAGGTGAAACTAGGACTAGAGGGCATCACCTCAAAATAAAGGGAAGCAAATGTAGGACTGAGGTCAGGAGGAACTTCTTCACCCAAAGGGTTGTGAATCTGTGGAATTCCCTGCCCAGTGAAGCGGTTGAAGCTACCTCGCTGAATGTTTTTAAGGCAAGGCTAGATAAATTTTTGAACAGTAAAGGAATTAAGGGTTATAGTGAGTGGGCGGGAAAGTGGAGCTGAGTCTCAGAAGGATCAGCCATGATCTTATTAAATGGCAGGGCAGGCTTGAAGGGCCAGATGGCCTACTCCTGCTCCTAGTTCTTATGCTCTTATGTTCTTATGTTCTTATTTGAGGTATCGTCAGCCTGTGCAATCTTTCAGCGGACGATGGAGAGCATTTTACAAGGTCTACCCCATGTCACTATTTGTTGAAATGATGTGCTAATAAGAGGGAAGACCAATAAGGAGCACTTAGAGAACTTTGACATAGTCCTTAGATGTTTTTTTCCCAGGGGACCATGCGCCTTAGAAGGAAAAATGTATGTTCCAGGCACCCCAAGTGACCTACTTGGACTACAGAGTCAACAAAACCAGGTTACATCAGTTGGAAGATGAAGTAGGGGTGATCAAAGGTGCCCCGGCTCTCATGTCTGTACCAGAGCTAAGGTCATTTCTTGAGTTGGTGAATTATTATGGATGATGCATATATAACAGGGCCTCCATCCTGGCACCTTTGCATCATCTCTTCTTTATTCCTTTATTCATTAATGGGATGTGAGCATCGCTGGCTAGGCAGCATTTATTACCCATCCTTAATTGCCCAGAGGACAGTTCAGAGTCAACCACATTGCTGTGGGTCTGGAGTCACATGTAGGCCAGACCAGGTGAGAATGGCAGTTTCCTTCCCTAAAGGACATCAGTGAACCAGATGCGTTTTTCTGACAATTGAGAACAGATTCATGGTCATCATTAGACTCTTAATTCCAGATATCTTATTGAATTCAAATTCCACCATCTGCCTTGGTGGGATTTGAACCTGGGTCCAGAACATTATCTGGGTCTCTGGATTAATAGTCCAGCGATAATACCACTAGGCCATCGCCTCCCCGTTAAAAAAGAGTCACCCTTGGAAATGGTCATGCAGCTAAGCCATAGCTCTCAGGGAGGCGAAAAAACAGCTATCATTCTCAAAGGCATTGGCACACTATGATCCCAAGCAAGATCTGGTATTGAAAAGCAATATCTTCCAATACAACATCAGGGTAGTAATAGCTCATAGATGGTCCAATGGAGAGGAACACCCAATAGCATATGCATCCAGGGCTTTGGCTAATGCAGAGCGTAAATATGCCCAGATAGAGAAGGAAGGTTTGGTGGTCATATTTCAAGTTAGGAAGTCCCACCAATACGTTAACAGATGTAAATTTGGACTAATAAGTGACCACAAACTCCTGCTAGATCTACTTAATGAGGACACGGCAGTGCCGCCCACAGCTCCACGCCGAATTCAGCAGTGGGCTCTAATACTAAGTGCGTATAATTACAAGTTGGAACACCGTCTGGGAGGCCGAGTAGCAAATGCGGACGCCTTGAGCCCCCTCCTACTGGCAGATACACCATCAATTTTCTGAACATACTTCCAGTCACAGCTGACAATATGGGACTCTAGACACAGAAAGATCCGGTCCTGGTAAATCTGAAACTGTTTTTGGTGGTAATGGGAGAAACCAAAGGGCCGTTACACCTAGAATTGATACCTTTTTTAACCCGGTGAGATCAGATCACAATAGAGGACAGCATATTATTATGGGGAGCAAAAGTCAACATCAGATACTGGTTGAACTCCACCAGGGTCATCTTTGGGTTTCCAATTTGAAGATGTTGGTGAGAAATAACGTCTGGTAGCCAGGATTGGATGCAGATGTAGCCGGTCAGTGCAGCAGTGCCCAGAGTGCCAACATGGACAAAACTTACTGCCAGCAGCTCCCCCACATTCATGGGAATGGCTGGATAAACATTGGACTTGGTTACGCATCGAAGATGCAGGTCATTTCATGGGCTCAATGTTATTAGTCATTGTGGGTGTCCACTCAAAGTGGCTCAATGTGCATAGAGTTCATTTGTCAAACACAGGGACAACAATAAAAAAAAGCACACGCATCTTTTGCAATACATGGACTCTCGGACGTGTTGGTCACAGATAATGGGACATCGTTTATGAGCAGGGAATTTGAGTATTACCTGAAGTTGAATGGTGCTCAACATATAAGGACAGCTCCATACCATCCATCATCCAATAGTCTGGCAGAAACAGCAGTCCAAACTTTGAAGGCAGGCTTAAAGAAACAGCCTACAGCTTCACGAGATATCAACTATCCCGGTTCCTATTTGCTTATCGGACCACCCCTCATGCAACTAAGGGAAAGCTCCAGCAGAGTTGCTAATGGGGAGAAGACTCTGCACCAGGTCAAATCTGATCTTTCTAAATCTGGGGCAGAGGGTGGAACGGCATCAGGAATGCCAATGCTGGGCACAAGACTCCGCTAAGTGAGAGAGACAGTTTATATCAGGGGATGAAATTTGATGTAAGAACGCAGGAATGGCCCTGCATGGGTGAGAGGCATGGTCGAAACGAGGTCAGGTTCAGTGACGTATAAAGTTCAGCTAGGTGCAACAGTCCTGAACAAGCATGTGGACCATATGAAAGCTGCAAACTCGCAAACAGTGCAGAAGCAAAATGTGCCCAGCTCCTCCACTGCCTTTCCGACAGTTCCAGAACCTCTGTCAAGCATTGAAGAGACCTCAGAATCTGAGATGGACACGGTGGATGTCGCTGCCTTGAAACCTTTGCTGCCTAAAGGAATAGACAACATGCACTACATGCTAAGGTTAACATTAATGCCCATGAGGCTGTCATCCTGTTAGCAACTTACATGAGGAAACTGCACGAAACTGGTGCAATCCACACAAGATAAGTTGCCTTAAGTGACATCTTAAGTGCCAATATGAATCCTTGAGATCTTTACATTGTTCCAGCAGATGGATGTCCCATCACTGCTCTAACGGTATGCATAGATCTACATATTATCATGACCCATCAGGTGCCAAATTCATTGATCTCATACATTTTTGGTCATAACCAAGTAGCACAGATTCAGCTATGATTCAGCACAGATTATGTCAGATGTCAGACCAGCTGCAAGAGTTCTGAAAGATCATCATCGACCAGTGGACTGAACACACCCAACAGCTCCCTGAGCCAGTACGTTCGTTCAAGTCATTCAGGATTCTCCAAGAATGTAATCTTGAAAGGCAAACAAGTTGTAGTGCAGTATAATGCCCATTGAATGTCATAAAATGCTTCACAACCATCTGATTACATTTGAAATGTCACACTGTTGTTACGTACACAGACATACATTAACTGGCAGCTTAGGTAAATACTTATTTTATCTCTCAGGTATTTTGTTTATATAAATCTAATGACGAAATCAGCTGCCAAGTGTGATTTTAGTTTAACATCAATTAAAACTCTTTGGAGATTTTTAACTAACTAAAAGAAAATGAGAAAATAGATCCAAAAGTTTTCATTTTTTAAATCATATTCAAGAAAGCCCACTAAATATGTTTCCTGCCTTTTGCTAATTTTTATCTGGTATAAATAATAAACACAATTATTGGTGAGTTGTTGCTTAATCTTCTCTATATCTGAGTATTTGTTTGATGCAATATATGCAAACTTATTGGGATAATGCCATGTATGAGCATGAGGAGGAGGCAACATAAACAAATAAAGATGCCAAGTAGGACGTGGCGAGGATTGTGAGCAGCAGAATTATACCACATAGATCCTGGATGCCAGTGCTTGAAACAGTTCAAGGATCTTAAACACGTGGTTAAAAAAGACAAGTAAAACTTGGAAATGAACATACAGGTTATATTAGAGTTCTATTTTGAAATGTACAGACAAGTCAGATTAGTATGTGTCATTCACATGTTTTACTGAGTTTTACTCTGGGATACTCTGACAAGGTGAGTGACACATCTAACCCTCAGAAGAGTTAAAAAATCAAACTAAGAATCTTCATGTCACATGCTGCTCCTGAGAATGGCTAATAAGAGATTATCAAGTTAGAACTTGATCAAAAACAGAGGTCGGTAACATTCCAAGAGGAGGAGTAAACTTAAGGACTGGATGAACTAAGAACTTGATAAAGAGGAGCAAGCATCTTATAAGGACATTTCTCTGATAAGTGGTGAGAAAATGTTTGCATTTAGAGGGACTTGAGTATTCCTGTAGATGAATCACACAGTATTATCATGCAGCTACAGCAAGCAATTAGGAAAGCAAAGGCTATGTTTGCTTTAGGTACAAAGCAGTTGAAGCATTAGTACATATAAGTTTTATTAAATTCAGCAGGACTTTGGTGAGGCCATATTTAGAGTACTGTGTGCAGATATGATTTTATCTAAGAAGGAACAGATTTATCCTTGAAGGAATGCAACAAAGTGCCACCAGACTGGTTTCTAGGTTAAGGGAATTGCCCAAAGAGGAGAAATCGATTGGACTCCAGGTACAATCTCTGGTATTTAAAGGTATGAGAGATGATCTAAATTAATTATACAATTCTTAAATAAAAACACAAAATTCTGGAAATATTCAACAGGTGGAGAGAGAAGTAGAGTTAATGAGCTAGATTTTTGTGAGGTCAGAGCAATTCCACAGACCTTGAACAGGGCCAGTTCTGGGATTTCTACCAAATTTTGTTTTTATTATGCACGCTTGGCTGAGAGTACAGACTTCTATTAGTTTGTTGAAACAGCTGTACACAAGGGAAAACATGACTTGATTTATAATTTTTATATTGCATTGCTTTCATCAATGGGTCAATGCTTATTTATATTAGAAAAAGAGGTGTCAAGTAGATTCTACTATTGATACTTTAAACGTCTGGTTGATTGACATTTTTATGAGGTTCAAATAATAGCAATTTTTAAAACAAGTTACGAATAGCTATATTTTTAAATCTTTTCCATCATTGCCACGATACAGTTCAATGATTCTGCACTGCCTGCACATTGGGCGAAGCAGCATGGGTTGTCATGGAGAGTAGGAGAAGGCTGTGGGGATGCGTCCCAGAGAACAGAGGTAGGCATTTTCAGCAGCCTGTCTCAGCTCTTGACAGCCCTTTGGCCACCTTCAGAATGTTTGTTTGCCAGTCACCCAACTCAATCATGTACCAGCCTCACCTTTTGTTTAACAAGCAGTGCCACTGCATTTATTTCCCAAAGATAATGTGTTACTGACTGTAGAAAATGAGCACAATAAAATGATTTCACATTACCTTACTGCAGAATTTCAGTGCTCCTCTGCATAGAAAAGCTCTTATACTTCTGGGCTCAATCTTCAATGCTTCATTACAGCTTAGAATGGCTTTAAGATAGCGTCCCTGCATTGCATAATAAACAGCTCGACTTAGATAGACCTATGGAAACAAAGACGACCCTGGTAAAGACACCATTTCTTTGGAATTCTTCCATAGCATTATAAAGTTTACAAATTAAATAATATTTCAGAATAAACATGTTATGCTATATTTTAAAATCTTTGTACAAGCTCGTTGAAGAAGAACTGCAAGTAGAGACCTGTCTCTGTTCACAGTACTGCCTTGGAATTCCATGTCTCCATGGCTAAGTACGACTGACTGCAATTGCACCCTGCAGTACACCATTAAATAAACCCAGCTATAGGGCTTATGCCAACATCTTCACCAAATCAGAATTTCATGGAAAACCTAAGGGAATGTCAATGATCAAAGCAAGAGAAAATATATTTCAGATTTGTAAATGGTTTCTACATAATAAGATCTTTAGGATTTGTGACCATCTGTTTGCTGATCTGCACCAGAAGGAAAAAGACCGAGATAAATAAAATATTGACATAGGATTAGACAGATTTTGCAGCATAGAAAGAGATTATTCAGCACAACTATGATTGGTGTTTATACTACACAGAAGTATCATCCTACCCTATTTCATCTAATCTTATCTATGTAACCTTCTGCTCATTTCCATATTATATTTGCTCTTAAAGGTAGCTGTTATTAAATCTTCCTTAAGGCAGATGGTTAAACAGGAAACTGGACACCAATTTTTTTACTTGATAATAGATTTACTTCATATTAGAATCCAATGACATATTTATCTCCTCCATCACCGACATCCAAGAAAGCTTTCTCAATACTTTTTTTTGTTTGCACTGGTCAACTCACCAATTTTGTTTAAATCTTGGAAGTTAAAACTTAAAAGTGTTAACTGAAAAGGTTTGGTTTATGTGACCAGAACCGGAAGCAGAGCAGCACATTCAGTAGGTCATCTGTCCAAACCTTAAAATGAATCCTTAGGGTGTAGAAAATGTTAACGAACAAGGCTAGGAACAGTCATCCTCTGCATCCCTCACAAATGGTAATATTTGTGGAGTTGTGAATATTACAGGGCTCATCATCATGAACCCAGTATCAGAGGAGGTAAATACTCCAAATTTGGGCCATTATTGGTGCCAGTGTATACTTAGGCTATACATTGCCAGTTGTGAAGAACATTATAAAGTCTGGTGGGTCAGAGGTAAGGTAAGGGCTGAGAGGAAAATCGGAGATCAAGGCCTGGTCTTGAAAGGTTGAAGATTTCAGGCTCACCTGAAAAGGCAATTCTGACAAATACTTAGAGTCATAGAGTTATACAGCACAGAAACAGACCCTTCAGCCCCAAGGGTCATCCATGCTGACCAGGTTTCCTAAACTGAACTAGTCCCTGCATTTTATTTATGCAATATTTAACAAAGTCTTTCTCCAAAAAGCTATGTGACCTGATTTAACCCCTTGTCAGTTTAAAAGCAGAGCTTGAAAATATGACTTCAACTCTGCTATTCTGCCTCAGTTCATTACACGCACATGGGTCAAAGGGTGGGTGAGGTATAGAAACAGAAGGAAAATGTCAGCACCATATAATCAAAATCCAAAACCCCCCAAATATTTATTTACAGCAGGGATGTTCTGTTGTCAGTGGCCACTTCAACCCTGATGGAATGCTTTGGGCCAGGATTGTAGTGGAATGGCTTTTCTTCATAGTTGGCACTGATAAATTATGTGTCAATGAGCTATTTTTATGAGAAATCCTAGGCTTTGACGTATGTTTGAATCAACTACGTGATAAAGGTTGCTAATTTTTTTGTTAGCACTTCTTTTTACAAACTAAAAATACCACAAAACTAATAAATATTATTAGCTAAGTCTTCTCAACACTTAAAAAATAGCCAATACTTACAAATAATAGACATATCTGTAAACATGACATTTAAAAAGTGATGATGAATATGTATCAACTAATTAATTATTTTGTATCAATCTGGATACAATTACCTCAAATCAATGCATAAATAGGTAACCACAATACCTCAAAGAATTGGGGGTTGATTGTAAGTGCTCTGTGAAAGTCATAGATACAATTAAAGTCATGAAGCTTCAAACTGCATAATCCTCGCTGATAATAAGCTTTAGCAAAATTTGGGACCAATTTCATTGCATTATTAAATGAATCCATTGCCTGAAAAATATCAATCAAAAATTACTTAAAGTAAGAGAGCCTAATTAACATGAATACATCACAATAAGGAATAATATTCTCACCTCTCTGAGTTGATTCAGTTCAGTGTAGCAAAGACCCATATGGTAATATATTTCTACACTCGTATTAACTGTATTTGCAATTCTTATTTCAGAAGCTTCAGGTTCAAGAGCCAAAGCTTTCTGAAAGCTGTTCAGTGCATCCTACATTGTAAAAAGAATTTTGAGATATGATAAAAGCTTTAGGATTACAAACTTAATGTTAATACCTTTGTATTTTGTGACTGAAGAGAATGGGATTCAGTGGAAAGGTGTTGAAAGAGAACAAAGGGGAAATACATGAAAGACAGAACACAAACAAATAAATGGTTCAAGAAACTTAATGTAATTGCTGAACAACTACTGGTCACTATTTTCACAGTGCAAACTTTACATACAGGGAAATCAAACCACTGAGTCATACTGGCAGACAGGATAACAAATACTCAGTTTTAGTACTTGATTATATTTGCAAGCTATGCACAAATATGCTTCACCTTTCCATCCTATTTTGCTCAAGAAGACCTTTAACCTTTAGTGTACAGTGTTATAAAAAATTGACGACTACATTGATAAAAAAATGAAGTGCAAAGTAATTTGAATGATTCTACTTTTTTTTATGATTGACTGACTTTTGGATTTTGAAACTGCCACAAAAGTCACAAATTTATCATTGCAGCATTTGCTCCAAATTAACTTATGCTAAGAAAGCTCTATGTATACTAATGATGCTGAACTATCAAAAACCTTAGTGGTCACCCATTATCAGAAGCATCTAACTGTGATTTCCTGCTGATAGAAAGCATTTTAATAAAATATACAAATCCATACCTGTAGATATGAGCCTGATTAACTGTCAGTGAAAATGCCCAAATTTGGCAAGAAAACAAAATACATATTTTCAAAAGGTCACAAAGGTGAATTGAGCAGAACATGTAAGGATTTGTTTTTAATTTGTTATGGCCTGTGAGTGAGCACCTATCTGGGCCACGATTTATTGCCCACCCCAATTGCCCTGGAGGTGTCCTGCCATGTTAGACCACTGCAGTCTTTGGGTTTAAGAAGAGTCTCAGTGTGGTCAGGAAGGGTTAAACGGTTGGATATTTAGTACACAGTACACAGCTGAGTTTGAGATAAAAATTGCAATACTGTACCAACGTGTGTCATGGCTTACCACAGTTCTGTGACTTCTAACATGTGATACTCACTACAGGCTTCCATCCTATGGCCAATTCAATTAAAGACACAGTACAAGCCAGACTTGTGTCCTGTGAGCCCGTCACATCATGTCAGACATAGGAGCTGAGACTGAATGTTCAGAGCTGCTGAAAGCCACTAAAAGTCACAGTAAGTCACAGAAAAAGGACAAAAAAGTAGGCCAGTGCTTAAAGAATAGGTAAGATACAATGGATCCAAAGTTTATTTTCCTGGTGCCAATTGAAGAATTATATGAAAATGAACTGGCAGTTTTTTCACTCAAAATTATGAAATTGTGACAGATTTAATTAACAAGCCAGAGCAATTGGAAGAGACTGTTATAAAGTATATTCCAACCTAGATTTCTCTGAAGAACGAGAAAAGGGGAATCTTGAAATTCGAAGGCATGCTTTACACCCCAAACTAATGTAACTTATGAATGGTATGTGTCCAATATTAGGTACCAAAATGAAAAGGAATTCATTGATCAACATGTGTCTGCATTGACACAGCTAACAGAATCCTATGGATTTACAGAACTAAATGACCTAACAATGACAGGACTGCATTAGGCATAGGAGATCCTGCTGTGAGACTGTGACTAATGAAAGAGGAGAAACTTACTCTCATGAAACTGATCAATATGTGCATCAGGGCTGAGATTGTAGCTAGAACATATACATGGCAGATCAGACCATCCAATAAATGGGCGTTCACTTCCAAAGTACTATCTTCAAATTTGACTTCTTGCAGGATTTGTTAAAACTCTTGAATGAACTCTACTTAAAGGATGATCTGTTAAATGCTTTTCAGACGTGATCAGAATTTGATATCTTTCAGAAACAGATGGTCATTACGTCAAAAAAGTTGTCATGAACTTTAACGGATTGATAAATTTAAATTTGGCAATTCTTGGATCAGTGTTAATGTTTAAGTTACTGGATTTTTCTAAGGCATTGCGGCACATGGACAGCTTTTAACTTGTTCTCAGTTTTCAGATTAGGGGGTCAGTTGGAATAGATGTCTCATGCCTTGAAAAGAAAATCTTATGCCTACAGTTATTTCTTTCTTCCTTCATGGAACTAATGAGACACAAAGAAAACAGTCACTGATTAGCAGATTTCAAAATAATTTGGATACAGCCATAACAGCATCAACACAACAGAATGATTAGAGGCTGATAGAATGAGACAAAATTGGAAGAATAATAATGGGTGAACACCAGGAACACCCAAGGAACAGTCACTAACCTAACTGTCACTATGTGCTTGAGTTGTGATCATAGCACCATTATGTGGTGAACTGCCCAAAGTAAAAAAGTAAGATCCTCAAAGTGACACAAGACAAAGAAAATTATGAAGAGGCGGATGAAGATAATGATGAATCAAGTTACATTGGTGACAAGGAATTTTAATTTGATTTGATTTATTGTTGTAACATGTACCTAGGTACAGTGAAAAGTTTTGTTTTGTGTGCAGTACAGGCAGATCATACCATGCAAAGATCATAGCGTGATTGAACAGATCAAGGCATATAAAGTTACAGCTGCAAAGAAGATGTTTCAGAAGCAAGATTAATATTAGACCTGAAATTCAAGAGGTCCATCCAGTAGTATAATAGCGGGGAAGAAGCTGTTCTTGAACCTGTTGGTATGCGTTTAAGCTTTTGTATCTTCTGCCTGACAGAAGAGGTTGGAAGAGATTATAGCCAGGGTGGGAGAGGTCTTTGATGATGTTGGCTGCCTTTCCAAGGCATCTGGTGATGAATTCATTAGTCATGGATTTCTTCAACTATGCTGCTCAATGTAGTGCTTGTATTTCAACTGTATATGTTGTAGGTTAGGTAAAATGTTATCTTGTTTCAGATTATAGTTAGGATGACATTAGTTGTATTTCACTGTATGTAGGTACAGGGGATTAACGGATTATTCACTTTGCCCCTATTAAAAAGAATCAGACTGAAACTGTGATTGTTGGATGAGAGGGAAGATGTTTGCATGGTAATGTGGTCATTCTTTTCATTTATTTTTTCATGGGATCAAGGTATTGCTGATTAGGCTGGCATTTATTGCTCATCACCCAAACTGCCCCTGAGAAAGTAATGATGAGCTGTCTTCTTGCAGGTCTGGCAGAATCTGTGGAGAAAAATCAAAGTTAATGTTTCATGTCCAGTGACTCTTCTCCAGTTCTCAGGAATGGTCACTGGACCTGAAATGTTATCTCTGCTTTCTCTCCACAGATGCTGCCAGACCTGCTGAGCTTTTCCAATAATTTCTGTTTCTGTTCAAGAAACTTTATGAAGACAAGTACAAAAGCAAATAAGTATTGATGGCCATTTATGAAACACTGGATCAATCTAAGATGGTGTATTGTGTCCAATGTTAGCCACCATAAAAAAGGATAGAAGAACTTTGGAGATGGTGCAGAAAAGCTTTACAAAAATTATGGACCTCACTTACATTTATAGATTGGAGAAGCTAGAGTTCGTCTCCTTAACGAAAGGAAAAGCTGAGAGGAGATTTCATAAAGTTTCTCACAATTATGAGAAGGAGTTTAGATAAAGTAGTTGGCCATAAATTGTTCCCATTGGTAGAAGGTTGAGAAGTCAACATCTCATATTTAAGATGCTTGGCAAAAGAACCAAAGGTGGAAATTTTACACAACAAGTGGTTAGGTTGTGAAATGTACAGTCTGATGAGTGTGGTGGAGACAAATTTAGTCATAGCTTACAAAATGGAATTGCATTAGCTCTTGAAGAAAATAAATTTACAAGACCACAAGGGAAAGGCAGTGCCTAAAGACCTCTTGCAGAGAACTGGCAATGACTTAAGGGGCAAAAAAGCATATTTCTGCACTGTTGAAGATCTATGATTCTATAAATACGCATCTCTCCAGACCTGATGTTATACTCAGAAGTGTGCACACTGGAGCTAGTTTCTGGGCATATTACATGTTCCCCAAATTTTACTCCTTCACCAGCACTTGAATACATGCATTATTCAATATTGAAATTCCCCAGATTATATGTCATTTTGAGAAATGTGTTTCAGAAATACATATTACCTCATATTTGCCAGCTTTCATTTGGCTTTTCCCAACCGAAGTTAACAATGGTGCTGTTTTTTCCATTGCATTCAAGTTCTCTATAGCTTTGTCATAATTTTTTAGAAAAATTTGTACAGTGGCTTGCTGAATTGGAGAGGAGTCAGAAGCTGTGCCAGCAAACAAAACATAAAAGAATGTATTATGAAAGGTCATAAAAGCTCGAAAAAGTGATCCATTACAAAGTCGTATACCAAGTACAACTGAATAATATAAACGGTCCAAGAAAAATGGCTGTGGTTGTTGCTTTAGTGTTGCTACTTCTAGAGACATCCAGAAAAGTCACTTTAGACTATCTATGGTGCCTTTGAAGCTAGTAGCAAAACCTTGTTTTACCTGCAATGTAAGCATTAAGATGCTTACAGTTTTGTAAAGGGTGAATGCATGATTAGGAAAAATGTTTATCTTAGTTGAGTCAGTTGGATCTGAAGATTATTTTTCTGAAAGGGGGCAGCACGGTGGCTCAGTGGTTAGCACTGCTGCCTCACAGCACCAGGGACCTGGGTTTGATTCCACCCTCGGGTGACTGTCTGTGTGGAGTTTGCAAATTCTCCCCATGTCTGCGTGGGTTTCCTCCCACAGTCCAAAGATGTGCAGGCCAGGTGGATTGGCCATGCTAAATTGCCTGTAGTGTTCAGGGATGTGTAGATTAGGTGGGTTATAGGGGGATGGGTCTGGGTGGGATGCTCTCAGAGTCAGTGTGGACTTGTTGGGCCGAAGGGCCTGTTTCTACACTGCAGGGATTCTATGATTGATGATATTTCATCTTCGGAGAATCTGAAATACAGGAACAAAATACTTTTGATGCTGGAAACCTGAAATATGATCAGGATTGGTGGAAATGCCTGGCAGGTCAGGCAGCAGATGAGAAGATTTATCAGTGAAAATAGGTGCTGCCTCACTGTCCGTGTATTTTCTGATCTCTTAATTTTTGGAAATGTCTGGTGAGCATTAATTTGTTTTAATATGCAAATTTTCTCTAAACATGATTCATCCAGTGCAATTTTAACATGATCCATCCCACAGGACTGGATGCAATGTTGCATTAACACTCTAAAAGTCAACAGACAGTAACAGCCAATTCCTCATTTAATTCCAAAGGATTTCTCTCCTAGCAAATTAGGCTTAAATTAAGCCCACTAATTCTACACATAGAAATTTATGATTTGTATATTTTTCATGGTATTAGATTATTTATTACATTTTAAAGCAATCACTGGATGCACAATATATGTAAATCACTAACATCTCTGTCCAGACAAAATTAAGTCAGGAAACAATGAAACAAATCAACATTCATTTCCAAATGCCCCATCAGGGACAGGACTGTATTCCCTAGTTTGTGAATCAGATGGTACCACATGGATCACCTGCTCCCAAACTCAGCAATTTTAAGGCACTGCGTTCTCAACTCCATTCCCTCCAGTTGTTAAGTTGTTTTATTCGATCAATACTTTTTATGCTGTTAACACAATTAGTACAATCTATTTTATTGGTAAGATGATAGGCAAATGCATGCTGTTAGTAAGAGATTGAATGATTCCTTAAGAATGTTTCTATAATTCTTGAAATTACAATTGTGCCTCCAAAATGTGTGACCTCTAAAAATGTCCTGACTAATGAAGGGATTGTAACTTTTAAAAAATGCTTTTTGAATTTTAAAATGTCTGTTCAATTACAATACAAACTATAAATACCAATTATATAATGGTTTTCATATCTCAAACTTCTAAGTATATAGATGTGTTAATAAATAACAATAGACAATTGAACGATTCAAATATATCAGATGGCTCCCCACCAAAATAATTTAATTTGTACACAATCAATTCAAAACTAATTATACCTGCCTTTACCATTTTTTCTATAATTATCTTAAAGCACATTTTAAGAATTTGATTTTAGCATGAAAACATTACCTTGATTGATCTCAGCATAATACTGGATACAAAAACTGGCAAGTTCAAAGTTTTTCATTTGATACAGATATTGTCCTCTTTAATGAAAAATGAATTAAGAAAAAGATACTAGGTTATGAAACAGAATTTAATTCAATACGTGTACACTCATGTAATACTTGTAAATAAATAATTTCTTCTATTTAGAAGACAGTCTGCAATATTGTTGTTTTCTCACACAAATCACCAATGATACACAGATGCACAAAATACACAATCCCATAAATAGAATTATTATTTTTAGCAACATAGATCTGATACTTAAAAGTTTCTAATTTATCATTTTTACTTTGTGGTACAGGCTAGGACTGCAAAGAACAAGTTTTATTTTGAATGGATTAACATTGCTTCATGAAACAAAAGAAATCTATCAAACCAGATTTCATTCTGGGATCTGACTTGTGCAGTAACATCAGTAACAATAGTTACACAGTAACATGTCCAAAGTAACATCATCTAGTTGTGCTTGTACCTTCAGCTCACTTGTTGCTGAAGCTATCATTCGTGTTTTTGTTACTTTTAAATTTGACTATTCCAGTGCATTTCTGGCCGGCCATCCAAATATCATTCAGCCATCACCCCATGCTCACTGACATGCAATATTCAGTTAAGTCAAAGACTTGATTTTAAAACCTCATCTTTGGGTTCAAAACACCTCCATTGCTTCGCTTATCCCTACCTCAGTAACAGTTCTGTGGCAAACATACATGCGCTTATAATTCCAGCCTCTTGAGCAATCCTTAATTTAGTTGCTCCATCATTAATGGCATTGCCAGCAGCTGCCCAAACCCTAATTTCTCTACTAAAACTCTCTATCTCTCTTTCCTTTTTTAAGATTATCCCCAAAATCTATCTCTTGCTATTTGACTTATTATCACCTCATATGGTACGGTGTTATATTTTACTTTTTAACAGAAGCATAGAATATAGGAACAGGAGTAGGCCATTTGGGCTACTGAGCCTGCTCTGCCATTCAGTATGATCAAAGCTGATCATCCAACTAAGTACCCTATTCCCACTTTCTCCCCATACTCTTTAATCCCTTTAGCTGTAAGAAATAAATCTATCTCCTTCTTGAAAACATGCAATGTTTTGACCTATATGAAGCATCTTAGGGTGTTTTATTACGTTAAAAGCTTTATAAAATTAAAGTTGGTGATTGCTGCTGTGATATTATACAATTAGCCAGAGAGCATCGTTCATGCAGAAGCTTCATGTTTACCAACCCAACAGTCTGTACTGATTAAAGATCTCTGCAGTACTGCGTTTTGAGCACATCATTATTCCTGAAACTTAAACAACCTCCGACGCGTTTGCTCTCTGTTGAGCAAAGCAGATGAAACATCAGATTGTTTTATTCACATTGCAAACAATGAAAATAATTTGTTGCTACAGTCTCCATCATGTGGCTACAAAGCAAACTGCAGAAACAGCTTGTTAAAAAATTAAATAAACAACCAATTAATTTATAGCAACCGTACATGTCTGATTATCATGGTGGCTTAAACTCAATTAAAACCCAAAGTGATTATGACATCTTAACTGGGTGATACGTGCTACTGGTATACGAGGTGATACATTGCAGTAAAATGTTACAACAGAGACATTGAGCTGCATCTTATGATTTTTGCCTAACTCTGCACTATGTCAAGTTTTTTGGAGAGATTTCTGCCATGACGGCTAGCAGGATTTCTCAGTACCTTACCAAACTCATCTCATTTACTATCTGATTGTGGCCAAATTTTATCATGCACCATTCCCAGAACAACTCACCACTCAGTAGATAGCCGCCAAAAAAACCAGCATATGTTGCATCCTTAAGAGACCATTGTGTACCTATAAGCACCAGCATTCTGAGGCAGCACTGTTCATTGATGAACAGAATCTGAACCTGTTAGAAAAGGGAAAGATGGCACCATGATTCTCCAACAGAGACCTAGAGGTGCTGGTCAAGGGGGTGGTGCAAAGGAGAGGAATCCTCTTCCTGGAGAACTGGGAAAGGAGGCCATGACCACCAGACCTTGGGCAGCCTCGTGCGACACCACCACCCAGTCTGTGTGTTCCATTGTTTGGAGGAGTGGCCAGCCATACCGTTAGATGGTCAATAACCTTCTCCACTGCACCCAGGATAAGCAACGTGCTCTTCTCTCTGCTACTTTAGCCTCACTCTAACGCTGTCACCCTCATCACCCCACCATCCTTCTTTCCCCTTAGTTCTGGAGATGGTCCCTAAGGACTGATTATGGCCTATTCCCTTCGGTTACCTAACCAGATAGGCCTGGGCAAGAAGTGTCCACAGCCCTGACTGATGGCTGTGCATTTCCCGACTGCGTTAGCCCAATCCCTTGACCAACAACATCCTGAGTGGATGCCTGACATGGCCAATCCCCTGGACTGGTTTGAGAGACTATCCTTGACTCACTGGCGAAGTCTACCGCCCTAAGTCTTTGAGAAAAGGCTCCTTGCTTGCTGCATATGCAGTGTGTTTGCCATGTAAATCCCTAGCTCGAGGTGTAGGTGTGGGATTGATGTAACACACTGCCTTACGCATGATATATACCCCCTTGACTGAGGAATGCTGACCAACAAGGCAAACTACCTAGTTGTGTGACTGCACTAAGTGACGAGGCACTGATACTGTGAGAAAGCAGGTAGGTGCTAGGTGGATGAGCACGGAGAAAGCAAGTGGACAATCCTGAGATGCAGCTTGGTTCAATCTGTGAGCTGGGTGCCTGTCCTGGCACACAGTGTCCCTGCAGAAGTTTTTCAATGGTACTTGCTGGTGCACGCTGCAATGCAAATCTGTGCTTTCAAAGTGTCCTGCCAGTATATCAGAGACATGCCATGATAGTTGTGAGGAGTTGGTTTTGAGTGTATGTGGATTGTACCCTTTGATTGTGCCCTCAGATACAGTTTGACATGTACACAACATGGAGATCTGTCAGAGTAAGTGGTAAGCTAAATTCACCAGGCACCCACTCTGATTTCCATGTGAGTTTCTTAGTAAGAATCTCCACCCGTCACTCACCATACGTATAAAAGATGGAGCAAGACGCTCCCAACATTGAGATGAGTCTTGATGGACTTCTCATTCAATTCTGCCACAGATTTCACCATAGCTCATGTAACTCAATTCCCTCTCAGATTCCATCCATAGGGCTGGTTTTTCCCATCCCAACATGGGGTAAACCCACACTGAGCGAGTGGAAGTAGACGTGGCCAGTACTAAATGCAAATCTGAATGTGAGATCATGGGGTCAACGTGAATAAAATTCTTGCTTTGAAAAGTTAGTATACAGCCACATCTATAAAGATCTGATTAAGTTACTGATCTTCTTCATAGCACTATGAAGACATTGTTACAAAAAAAAAATGTCCTTCATCCTACCTTAACAGGTAGAAGTAATGTGTTTGAGGCTGGAGGTGAATAGCGCATGTTATATCTTTCAATGCCTTTGCCACATTATGGATCTGCCACAAACAAATGCAATCATGAAACATACCACTAATCATCATTAATTCCTTTTTTGCTTCTTCTTCTTTGCAACTTTCCCTTCCCAGACTTTCAAGTTTAGCCTTGTGTTTCTGCTTCTTTCCATTAGATTTATTCTCAGAATGCAGTGCAATCAGGTGAATCAGCTCAGAAGATCAAGCAATTTTAAAGATATGAGTTACAAACAAGACCACTTAATTTAGGGTTTTGCCACAATGCTTTACACTGGTTTAAGATTCAATTTGTATGGATCAGACCTCACCCACAAAACTGGCCATGCTTCCACTCAGACAATGTGAGTTTCCACTGATTGCACTGTTCAACTAGACACACTCATATTGCAATCTTTTTTTTTTAACATGTACTGATGCTAGTAGGCACAATTTAACACTGATTTTTATCGCAAAAAATATTACATTCACTAAGAAATTGACAACACACTGAACACTAAAGCAATGAGTAAATGAATCAATATAGTTTGAGGCCATAACATCAGGATATGTACAGGGAGCAAAATAGACATCTTTGTAAATCTTAAGGTTTTTTTTGCGATAAACCAAGTTTCAAATGTATTTAAAAAAACTGCACTAGTTTATTACACTTAAACATATCAACGAATACTTTCAGTGCAATGAAAAAGAATCAACTATGTTTTAAAACAAAGATCTCTGGATGCTGGAAATCTGAAACAAAAACAGAGATTACAGGAGAAACTCAGCAGGTCTGACAGCATCTGTGGAGAGAAAGCAGAGTTAACATTTCAGGCCTGGTAATACTTCTTCTGAACTGATGGTAGCTAGAGAAAGGTAGTATACATGCAGAAGCTGGGGAGGGGGGGTATAAAGGGGTAAGCAATAAGTGAAGTCTAGGCCAGAGAGAAGAGAGAGAAAGCAAGAGAGAGAGAGAGACAGTTAGGCAAACAAGGGGATGGATAATGGTAAGACAAGAAGATAGAAGAGCTACTTATGAGGACCATAAATGGGTTGGCTGTGCTGAAAGCAGGCCATGTGATTACAGGTCATGGTGTATGGAGATAGGTAAAGGGCACAGAAGAGGGTGTTCAGACATTAACAATATTGAACTCAATATTGAGTCCTGAAGGCTGCAGAGTCCCCAAGTGGAAAATAAGGTGCTGCTCTTCCAGATTGTGCTGAGCCTCAGTGGAGCACTACAGCAAGCTTGAGACAGAGATGTTGGCCAGGGAATACGTTGGTGTGTTGTAGTGGCAGGTAACTGGAAGCCTGGGGTAATTTTTGCGGACAAAATGTAGGTGTTCTGCAAGGCAGTCACCCAGTCTGCGTTCGTACCCTCAATGTAGAGGAGACCACATTGTGAGCAGTGAATACAGTAGACTAGTTTGAGTAAAGTGCAGGTAAATCACCGTTTCACCTCGAAGGTGTATCTGGGGCCTTGGATAGTGAGGAGGAAGGAAGCAAAATGGCAGATGTTACACCTTCTGCAAATGCATGGGAAGGTGCCGTGGGGGTCTAGGAAGGTGTTCGGAGTAGAGGAGGAGTAGAACAGGACGTGCCAGAGGGAACAGTCCCTGCAGAAGGCTGACCAGGGAAGGGTGTGTCTGGTGGTGGAAGAAATGACAGCTTATGATCTTTAGATGTGGATGCTGGTGGGTTGAAAAGTGAGGACCAAGGGAACCTTATCACTGTTGTGGGAGAAGAGAGAGGGTGAGGACCGAAATGTGGGAGATGTATCGGTTGAGGAAAGATGTGATAATTTTTGAGGCGCCCTGCTTTTTGTACAATTCCAGGAACATTCTGGACACAATTTGCTTACATGCATTTTCATCATATGAATAAGCGCTAAACCCAAAATGATGTTTGAAGGAAAACAGAATTGTGTAAAGTCAACAATAGCCATCCAGATAAATAATTTGAACAGCTTTACCACCCATTCAAGGAAACTGCTGGGAGCAAACCAGTTACTAGCAAGTTAATCAAAAACCAGAAAACGGCAGATGCTGGAAATCTGAAACAAAAGTAGAAAATGCTGAGAATAAAACCTTAGCAGGTTAGACAGCGTCAGTACTGAGAGAGAAACAGAATTAACCATTTTCCGGGAAGCAGCAATCTCACGCAGATTACTATGTTGGCACTTCTGTTTTACAAAACAAGGGAGCTCCTCATTTCTCAGAGGAGATTCTACTTGGAACTCCTTCAGAAATGCGGAGTTAAAGTTCCATTCTGGGAGATCTTACATAGCTCAGAACTGTCAGAGGAACGCAACCCACATTCCTTTCTCACAGTAGTCAGCTGCTATATTCTAGAGTGGGTCAGACGGTCAGTCCGAGGGGAATGGATGGTCAGATCCGGCAGCAGGAGAAGAGGGAATACTGGGAGTCAGAGCTGACGGAGTGGGAGCAAGTGTTTGGGGGGCCAGGTCTGGTCCAGCAGTGGTGGGGGAGTTGCGGATAGGGGGTCATGTTGGTTCCGGTAGGGGTCCCACATACTCACGTCTGGCGGAAGTCAGTCCAATGGAGGCAGGTTTTAGCTATAGATCAGGATGTCAGGTCCCAGAAGGTAACAGCAGGTGGTGTCAGGCCCCAGAAGGGGGCAGACGGTGGTGGTGTCAGTTTGTTGGGGGGGTGAGGGTGGGGTGCAGGTAGTGGTCAGGTCCTGGGGAGGTGGAGGTTGGGCCTTGGGGAGACGGGCTGGTATTGGTTGCTGGGCAGATTGTTGGGGGTTGTCAGGTCACGGTCTGGGATGTAAGGGGTTTGGGTGATGACAGTAAGTTACTATGGGGTCAGCTGAATAGTTACTCAGGAATTGCACTGTGACTAATTTTTCCAGAGTAACCATTTTACTTAATTTCATTGGAGCCATCCAAAGTCTTTAGTTTTTATGGAGACTTTCAGAGGGGTCCAGGTAGAGAGGAACTGTCCAACAGAATCTGTAATTTCCTGGGCAATTCGTTCAGAGTTATTCCATGTTCACAACTCCCATCAATGCTGGAAAAACAATATCTGGTCATGGGAAAGTCTGTCCCCTATGTGATCTTTCAGCAGAACTGGCAAGTTAGGTTTACAATAGGTTTCAAGCAAGGGTAGATGGGACAAGGACAGAAAGTAAGGTCTATGGCAGGTTGGAAGACAAGAGAGACCATAACAGAAGAATTAGTCTTTCAGAGCCAAAGGAAATAATGGCAGGATAGGGACAGAAGTAAAGAAAAGGGGGCCTAAGTAGGACTGTATCATATTAAAATGGGGTATGATTCCAGGAGTCACCAAGGTTCCTAACCCGTCTTGTATCATTAGATAATGAGAACAATAGTGAAAAAAAGACATATTTTGTTAAAACTGTTCATCTTGTCCTGCATTTGTGAAAACAGCATTTTTCACAGAATATAAAGGTCAGAGGTGGGCACATTCACTGATGATTGCATAATGTTAAGCACCATTCACAACTCCTCAGATACTAAAACAGTCCATACCCACAGGTGGCAAGACAATATCCAGGTGCCTATATCCACTTGACAATTGGCAAGTCAATTTCACGCTACACAAGTACATTGCAATGACTATGTGACAGAATGTAATCATTGCCACTTGACATCTAATAGCAATACCACTGCTGAATCCTGCATTGTATCCTGGGGGTTACTATTGACTAGAATCTGAGCAGGATTATCCACATAAATACAACAGCTATAACAGCAGGTCAGAGGCGAGGAATACTGTGGCAAGTAAGTCACCTCCTGAGTCCCCAAAGCCCATCCACTATCTACAAAGCACAAGACAGGAGTGTAATAGAATGCTTCCCACTTGGCTGGATGAGTGTGTCTCCAATAATATTCACGAAGCTTGAAACTAACCATGTCAAAGCAGCCGACTTGACTTGAGCCGCAGCTTCAGACTTCCCTCCCTCCACTGTCAATGCACAGAAGCAGTACTATGTACCATCCTTAAGACACACTGCAGAAATTCACCAAGGCTCCTCAGACAGAACCTACCTGTCCTACAATCACAACACAGAACATAGAACAGTACAGCAGTGGAATGGGCACTTCAACCACAATGTTAAGCCAAACATGATGCCCAATTAGATTGATCCTTTCTGCCTGCCCTTGGTCTTTATCCCTCCATTCCTTGCATATTCATGTGCTTATCTAAAAGTCCCTTAAACACCCTTATTGTATATGCCTTCACACAACAATCTCGAAGGACAAAGGCAGCAGATACAGGGGACACCATCTCCTACTATTTCCTCTCTAAGCCAGTTACCACCCTGACTCAGAAACATATAACCGTTTCTTTAGTGCCAGAGTCAAAATCCTGGAACCCCCTCCCAAAATGTATCGTGGGTTTACCCACACCAAACAGACAGCTTTGATTCAAAAAGCCAGCTCACCATCACCTTGAAGGCAACTAGGAAATGGACAACAAATGCTGGCCCAGCCAGCAATGCCCACATCCCGTAAATGAATAACTAACAAATTGTCCACAAGATCGGCTAATTCTTGACAGGAATTAAAATTAGGACTTTAATCAATGTAAAAACATACTGAACTGAACTTCAAAAATCAGTTTTACAATTTTATTTCAAATATATTGCATACCTTCTGATATGCCTTTGCCCGACACACATACGCTCTTGTTGAAGTTGGTTCAACTTTTAAGGCATGTGTAAATTTACGGAGTGCTTCATAATAGTAGTCCAATTTTAGAAGGTAAATAAGCCCAAGATTTATATGAGCTAGGCAAATAGATCTGGAAATAAAACAGAAACTAGTTTAGCCATACAGAAAAGGCTCTGATCCAATAATAATAGGATATAAGACATTATATATGTTAACATTCTGACCAATCTGAAAACCACATTTTCATTTGTCAGTGAACTATTCAGATGCGCATCTGAATTTACTCCCCTTTACTCTGCTTGGTCTTCTATTAATCAATACTCTACAAGTAATGTATGTGTTCTGATTTATCTTCAAAACATTAAACATTTTGAACTCCATAGTTCACTAACATGTATGTGTTACCAATCATTAGCATGCTGGTCCTGACCAAAATAATTTCTGCTTTTAACCAGTGAAGAATATCAAAACTAACATCAGAAGTATATTCCAGCTTCATAAGCAGTACTCATTTGTCTGATTTTAGTACTCAACAGAAACAATATTTACTGGAACAAGTTGAGAAGAATATCAGATAAAGGATGCAGCATTTCTAAAATGATATGTGATGTATAACTAATTAAAATTGTTCCTGTTTAAATCCTGCACAGTTAATAGGTTTTTTGGAAGGGGAACCTCGCAGGGAAAATGAGGCTGGAGAAGTAGTAATGAGGAACAAAGAAATGGCAGGGAAACAAAGAAATGTTAAAGGAACTGAATAGATACTTTGCATCAGTCTTCACGATGGAAAACACCAGTAGCATACCAGAAATTCAAGAGTCAGGGGGCAGTGGTGAGTGTGGTGGTCATCACTAAGGAGAAGGTAATGGAGAAGCTGAAAAGTTGGAAGGTGGATAAATCATCCAGACCAGATGGACTACACCCAGAGTTCTGAAGGAGAAAGCTGAGCAAATTGTGGAGGTATTGGTGGTGACCTTTCAGGAATGACTGGAGTCAGGGAGGGTCCCAGAGGACTGGAAAATGATTAACGAAACACCCCTGTTTAAGAAGGGAGGGAGGCAAGGCAAAAATCTGTTGGCCAGTTAGCCTGACATCGGTTGTTGGTAAAATTTTACAGTCCATTATTATGGATGAGATTGCAGATTATTTGGTGATCTGCAATTTCCATGGTAAAATAGGGCTGATCAGAATGGCTTCGCTAAGGGGAGGTCATGCCTGACAAATCTGTTAGAATTCTTTGAGGAGGTAACAAATGAGGTAGACAAAGAAGAGCCAGTGAACATGATCTATTTGGATTTTCGAAGGCCTTTGACAATGTGCCGCACAGGAGGCTACTAGATAAGAGCCTATGGTGTTAGGGGCAAGGTACTGACATGGATAGAGGATTAGCTGACTGGCAGAAAGCAGAAAGTGGGCATAAAGGGGTCTTTTTCAGGATGGCAGCCGGTGACAGCAGAATTCCGCTGGGGTCAGTGTTGGGGCCACAACTATTCACATTATACATTAATTATCAGGACAAAGGAACTGAGGGCATTGTTGCTAGGTTTGCAGATGACACAAAGATAGGTGGAGGGACAGGTGGTGTTGAGGAAGTAAGGAGGCTGCAAAAGGACTTGGACAGGCTAGGAGAACACGTTAAAAAATGACATATGGAATACAATGTGTGAAAGTGAGGTTGTGCACTTTGGTAAGAAGAATAGTAGCATAGACAATTGCAAGTTATAAGTCAGCAGAATCACTAACGAATATTTAAATTGCTAATTTTAACACAGGTAAGTTTCTCATCGTTACTAGTCATATCCCCAATCCGTTTGGCAGCACAAACAGTCCCTAAGGTCCTTTGCAACCTCTGGCTTCTTCAAGTATAGGCATAACTTCATTCCCCCATTTGATTATTAAATCACCTTTAAACACAGCATTATTTATCCTAGTTCCGCAGATACAATTATCAATAAAGAAAAGACACAATTCAGCACAACCTCCTTCATTCAGTTCACGATAGTTCTGATGGCATAATTTCCCCAGAGACATTTTCATCCAACTACTCAATTACATCACTGTCCACAGAATGGCTGGCTCTGGTAAAATAACACCTACCTCCTCCATATGCTTGGATAGCTCACACATCTCTTCCCACCCCGTGTCTGTTCTGACTAGTTGCTGAAAATGCTGAAGAAATTCTCTGTCTATCCTGACCACAAGTTGAAATCTCATCTGACAACCTGGTGCTTCTTTTTGGTAGTCAGCCTCTGTTTCCCTAGCAACCTGAGTCAGGGGCTAATTTCTCGGAATTTCAGAAGTCTGAGGCCATAGCCATGAAACTCCCCTTCCCAGAAATCTGGAGCTTTTTGGTTTCAGTTTCAAAAACGCGGACTTTTCAATCATTTTATCACACTCTGGTTTGGCATTACAACAGGGAGATGGAGTAGAAGCTGCTGAGAGGGTAAGTTTTGCACAGCATCCTCTGCAAAATTGAAGCCAGACAGTACAGATGGATACAAGCTTCTTGACCATGACAGGAGCAGATTGGAATGCCAGCCAATATATCTGGTATCAGTGTATGCATTTCCTTCAGCTTTCTCCTGCATATCATGGCTTTGAGATCATCATCTGAAACTCCTTTAGCACAACTGTGACCTTGCCCTTTGGTGAACTGGCAAGCCAAGCATTCTTTATCCCTAGCCTGGTCACATCCATGCATGCAATGTTGTGCTAATCAACATTATATAATACACATACAGTGATGATATGTGAGCTGATGGATGAAAAGGACAGATAAAATGCCAAGGGCTTGTTATCACTGTTGTTTTACTCTTTCTCTCCTTCTCTCCTCTCCCAGATCTAATCTGGCTGGGGAGGATCCCTGGGTGTCTGTAATCAGAAAGTCAAGAAAGAAGAAGCTTTTATGAAATAAGGGAAAAGGGATGGAGAACAAGAGGTCCATAGTATCACTAGGTGCAGCTCACTCGTCATGCCTGAAAGAACTGGGAACTGCAAAGTGGCACAAGGCAGGAGCTGCCACAGTTATCATTGTTCTTAGTAATTCTAGAAGATATGGGCTCTGTAAAGCCAGCCTCAGGATAAGGAAAATCACCTGCCCCATTGAAGGTGACATGAAAGACATGCAGATGTCCTTCTCCCCGGCCAATGCTGCTCTGCTCCAATCTATTATGCACCCCTTATCCTGCAATAGAAAGGAAAGAAGTCAGTGCAAAAGCAAAATGATGCAGATGCTTGAACTCGGAGATAAAAACAATTTTGCTGAAAATATTCAGCATGTCAAGCAGCATCTGTGGAGAGGATCATCCAAAGTCTGTGATTGTGCTGCATTGTGCCTGGTGGTGTGCTTTCATAGTGGAATACCTGGAAGAATGTGGATACAGTGAGAGATGCGTGTGAAGATGGTAGGATTGATAGGTGCCTGAGCGTGAAGCAAGGTACCTGTATCAAAGGGATTGGGGAAGTCCTGAGTGCCAGGGACTCAGTTTGGCTGAATGGCGAAGATAAGATCCATTAAGATGTGGAAAAGGCAGGAGAGTGATAAGATGAGGTATCACATGAAGATGACTTCACATTAGGTTCAGTGAATATTATAGCATTGTGGTGGCACCACTGATAGTTTCGTGTCCAGATGCTAGAAATGGACTTTCTTGACCACCTGATCCCAACCCATTGGGGAGTGATGCCTGAAGAGCTTCTGGCTTCCCACAGAACCAAAGTATCTCTCCTATCCACCAACCCCAACACCAAAGACTTCAGCAACACATCCATGACCCTGGAACACTCTCCCTCTCACTCTAAGCCGGTGTTTCATTTTCCTTGCTTATAATTACAGCAAAATTATTCAGCAGCCTCTTCTCATGCTGTGCAGCTTCTCTTTAAGAGGAACAGACTGTCTTAAACTGACTGCACCGTATGCTATTAGCACTCAGTGCTTAGCTCCATGTTAAGTACAGAGGCAACCAGCAGAGTAGTAGAGCCCTAAGCCACAATTATCTATGTGAAGTTACAGCACAAAATATGGGTGCCGCCTATCTTCACCTTAATATAGAGACATTCTTGCATAAAATACATGTAGGCTCTGTGGAAAAATGTGAGGTGGCACATTTTACTAGAAGGAATTGGGAAATTAATTACAAGCTTGGAAGGTGCAAGTTTAGGTGAGGGTGGAGAAACAAAGGGAACTCAGAACGGAAAAATACCAATCACTAGGAGTTGAACCACAAATTAAGAAGGACATAAAAAGATGCAAAGTAAGTACTAGGTCTTATTTCTAGAACAATAGAATTGAAAAGTAGAGAAGTTATGCTAAATGTGAATTGAATCTTGGCTAGACCACATTTAGAGTACTCTATGGTGACCAAAGCTATATAATATACGAAGGTTGGAAAAGCACTGGAGAGGGTGCAAAGAGAAGATACAACGTTGATACAGAAATATGCAGGTACACGTTAGGAAAGGATTGACAGGTTGGGTTGAATTCTCTTGAAAAAATTACTGAAGAGTCAATGTAAGTCTTTAAAATTATGAAAGGTTTTGATGGAATGTTTAGATATGTGTGAAACAGTAGAAATAGAGATTATCAATATACAATAGGCAACAAGTAATCCAATAGGGAATTCAGAAGAAGCTTCTTTAACTAATGAGTGGTAAGAATGTGGACCACATGACCACAGGGCGTGGCACAAGTGAATAGGACAGATGCATTTGTGAAAGCTGGACATGCAATTGACAAAGCAATAGTTTAGATGGAGGATTTAGGTAAAGAAATTTGGAAGGAGGTACAAGTAGCAAATAAACACCAGCAGGACTAGTTAAACTGAGCAGCCAGTTTCTGTCCCTGTACTTCTTTGTACTCCTACGCAAACCTTCTTGAATGTTTCCCATCAGACTTTCACATTCATTTGACATAATGCCTTATTTCTAGAGTATTCCAATCAGCAAGATATAACTTTGCTGGTGGTGAGAGGGGTTCTCCCCATCAGATCCATCATATACATTTAGCATCTCAGCACTGCTGTACACGGTCCACAAAGAGTTTGCAGGAAGGAAGAGACCATCAGCCGTTTCTTTCTGAAAAGTGTATTTGAAAAGAATGCAGAAAGATACAGTGGCTTTTATCCAGATTAA